GCTCTGTAGTCCAGCTTCAGCGCTGTATTTATTGTGTGCACCGGTTACACAAAGACACACACTACAAGCAGAGAATAGTTCTGTGCGTGTATGGTCTTGGATATGATCACGTTATGATCACGGACGCTGGAGGTGGGAACTGCTGTCCAGAGCGCACGCCGCTCAGCTCGCAGAGAAACAACAAGTGCCCCGCGGTCACGCCTGTGTTCTTTTAAAACTTGAATTCCCAGAGGGCCTACCTGCTCTGTCCCCATCTCACACATGCAGGTGTCCGCGGCATTCTTAGTGTTGTTATGGGATGCATGGGCATGCGTCAATCGCACAAGTTGGTACTGGAGTATGTGGAATCAGCGTCAGCAGCTTTTCTTCCAGTACTGTCCAGTATATTGCTCCATCCTCCTTCCTCTCTGTCACTCTCTACTGTCCCTACAGAACATGATGCTGCCACCCCCATATTTGACGCTGGGAATGCTGCACTGAGGGAGAAGAGCAGTGTGTCCCGCTTTGCTTCATGCAACTTTATTTCAACACTGACTTTTCATTCTCCACTCGTCCATAAAGGCCAGATTTGTTTAGAGTCTTACTAATACCTTTATGTACAGAATCCGCCAGGTGAGCTGTGGATGTCAGTAGCTCCCCCAGAGAAACCATGGGCCTCGTGTCTGCATCTGAGATCAGTGTTGTCCTTGTTTGAGTTTTGGGCAGACAGCCGGGTCTTGGCAGATTTGCAGTTGGGCCGTATTCTTTCCATTTCTAAATAATGCTCTTTAGCCGTCCTGATGCTGTTTGGTGACCAATCTAAACGAGGCTCTCACAGAACAACTGTCATTATACTGAGAGTAGATCACGCGCACACACACACACACACTGGGCTTCCTCAGAAAAGACAATTTAATGCACTCAGAAAATGCTGTATGAAAACTTGCTGGCCCTACTTTTTACTTTTCTAATTTTAAAAGGTTCATAAAAGCATGTATCATTTTCACTTTGCAGTTGTTTGTTACTTGTATGTGATTACTTTCAGTAGAATGGAAATCTGTATTGTCTTAATTTTAGCGCATTCTGACTGCTTTAAAACAAGAGTTGCCAACGGGACAAAGCAAAATTATCTTGTTTTTAAAAAGAAACAAGAAATGTCTCCCTTGGAATGGGAAAATAAAGCAATAAGACTAAATAGCTTTGTCCCATTGGCAAATCTGGTTTTAAGACGTACATAATGTACTCAAAATGAGATAAAAACACTAAATTCAAGCAAATATTACCTCATTTGTTATCATTTTTTCCAGTGTATGACTCAGAGTAACATATTCACTATTCTACATCAGCGTGGATTGGAAGAGCTGCATAAAAGGCGGACAAACCGAATACTTTTTAAACAACCGCTCAGGCCACACTATGACTTTAATTTCACAGCCCTTTAAGTCCCTGTGGGCTACAGTCTATGACCCAAAAAGTGAGTGGCTTCTGAAGTGTGGAGGAGTTTTAATATTGTGACCGCTTGACCCTGAGGTCCCACTGCTGAGCTCTCGCTGACACCCGTCTGACAGAGTTTATGAAGTGAAGCCTCCGTCAGTAAATCCTGTTCTCTGCTGCACGTTCAAACTTCACACATTCAGAAAGCTTTACTAAACAATGAATGATCAAAACGATGAGGAGGTGAATCCAAACCCAACCCTCTGTACCGTGAGAATAGACTTTAAAACAGCTCTGCTCTGTGGAAGTCTCTCCACGGCCTCACACCAAAGTACACTCTCAGAAAATAAAGTACAGAATTGGACCTTTAGGGGTACAATGGCTTGTCACTGGGGCAGTACCCTCGCAAGGTACAATTTTGTACCCTTGAAACAGGGTACTTATTTGTACCCTTGTAATTTGTACCTTACAAAGGCCAATCTTGTACCTCTGGTGGCAACTTTGTACCCTTATTTTGAAGTACAGAAATGGACCTTTAAAAAGGGTACAAAATTGGCCTTTTTAGGGTACAGTATAGTACCGTTATTTATTGCATATATTTTTGTGTGTGTACATTATACAAAAGATAGTAGCAAATACATTTATGAGAATATATTTTTTATTTTCAAATTTCAATTTCATTTCATTTGATTTCATTAACTTTAAACATCCTTAAAACTGCATACATAAAAATAAAACGTGACAGAAGATCTTACATTTTCACGTTACTTTTGTACATCTTTAAATACTATGTCGAAGTGTGACATACAAACTATTATCCACAGAATAAGTGTCAACTACTTGGAAGTCCATTTCATCGCCTGGTTTTAGTAAAGTCCATTCTCCATCAACCTTTACACTGTATGCATGAAAGTGACTGTCATATGACAGAGGAACCAACATTTTACCACAAAGGAGCCACAAGGTATCAATGTTCAAAATGTACTTGATCTCCCAAAACAGTGGAATTTTCTCTGAATGCAGTACATCTATGACAAATACATCTTTGACAGCATACTTGACATTGTTGACTCTAACTTGGGACACACGTTGAATATTTTTGTCTTTAAAATCTACATTACAAAGGTTGTGATTGACTGTCAGGGCTCTCTGGAGTTCCACAGGTAAATGTAAAAATGGAGTGGTCACACTTTTCCCAGGCATCTTTTCAAATTCACCCAGCAAACTCTGTGAGGAAAACTCCCAGCATTGTCTGAACTGGTGTCTGTTGCTCAGCGTTGTAGCTATGTTAACAAAATTTCTGCAGTTATGGGCAACCATTTTAAAATATTGGTGCTTTCCCTCAAATCTCATGCACCATAATAAACGCAGAGGCCCATACCATTCTATGAGTCTTGCATAATGAATTAAGTAATGACACTTAGGTGTAATAACGTCCCCAAATACATCTGTCATTTCTGTCAGAAACTCTTGAACAAGTACATTTAACAACAAAAGATTTTCTCTTCTCACCTTTGGAGCCATAACAATCTCAGTAATCTCCCGACATAACAGAAAAACATGCCAATATTTACAATTAGGTGGAACACGGTGTGCCATTAGAAAAGGCAGCAGCCTGAAGAGGCACCACTTCTGTGAAGCGGATCCAGTCACACCAACATTCTGGAGTCTCTCTGATAACTGTACTGGTTTGTTTGCTTTGTCGTTTTGACCAATGTGTATTTTTTGCAGTTCCTCATTTATCTCTTGTATTGTTATGAGTTTTTCTGAATGAGCTTTGCAAATAACTAGTTTCATTACTAGCGGAATTACACCCTCTAATAAATCGTGCATTATGTCTGGTGGTAAAGCTGTTGTTACATCAAAATAATGCAATTCGTTGAAAGGTGAAGGACGGTATACTCCATAAATTACTTTATCATCAGGGACTTGTTGGATGCGGGCAAGATGACACAGATGAACTTCAGATGTTCTTAAAACAAAGCTGTCTTCTGTGAACAAATGTTTCTTATCTTGATGAGTAGCCATGCAATAGCGACAAACTCTACCCGAGTTAAATGACATGGTAAATCCACCAATCATGTGAGCTGACAAGTTATCACCAGATAAAGTGGCAAGAGCTGCATGTATGGTGTGCTCAGTTCCATCAAAAGTCAATGTAAAACCATCAGTACAAAGTTTTTTAAGATCATCAACCAAAGGCTTTAAGATTACATCAAAACACACACTGTTTTACATATGAATAACGTACCAATAAGGCTAAAAAGGCTAAAAAGGGCGCGACAGTAGCTCAGTTGGTAGAGCATTGGCCTTAAGCCCAGAAGGTCGTGGGTTCAATTCCCACCTCTGCACCTTCTCCATCGACTCCCACTGATGACTGCTGTCGTTGTGTCCTTGGGCAAGACACTTAACCCCACTTTGCCCAAAGCCCCCACTGAAAGATCAAGGCTATGCTCACACTCAGAGAGCAGCCGTCCTCCTGTGGACTCACCACCTGCAGAGGGTCAGTGAGGGGTTGGTGCTATGAGACTTGGGTGCATCTCTGACTGCCACCCCCCTGACCCAGAAATGGATTAAAGGGTAGAAAATGGATGGATGGATGGATAAGGCTAAATGAATGTGTCTCTGCTGAGATCTATATTTTGTTTCCAAATTGCCTACTGTGTAATAAAATGCACACAGCTTGTGTTTGGTTCTTTTTGACCCCAAAGGATTTACTACTTCGAACTCATCCTCATAAAAAATACAGCCGCAGGGCATTTGGGTGGTCTTTAAAAAATTTGTGTTGTTTGAAAATTTGTCCATCACAGTAGTCTACTAAAAATTCACTGTCTGTCTCAGGCTTTGTCTTCGACAGAATTTGATCCCGAATGTCCTCATCAGAACAGTATTTTTTAAGCACCTTATCAATTGGTACATATGAATAAGAGCCCACAGTGTGTCCTACAGAGTTCCTCAGCTTATAATGGACAGGTTCTATCATATTGAGCTTGGATTTACAATGTTCTTTTATCATATATGGAGATCGGATAGCCTTTGAAGCCTCATCAAAAAAATCATTTGACTGTAGAACCCTTTTTAGCTCTGTACTTTCCGATATATCAAAACCACTTTTCTGCAAGTGGTAAGCTATAAAAGTGTCATAGTTCTCCTTGAAAAAACAAAGTAAGAAATTGACATCATCAACAATTTCTTTTTGAACAGAGACTGGAAGGTGATTTTTCTCTCTACATTTCAGAATGAATGAGAAAAGATTTTCTCTGAAATTGAGTAACAGTTCATCCATAGAGGGAGGATTTTCAGTGACAGAATCTGTCCCAGGCTCATCAGAATCCTCAGAGGCCACCTCATCTTCATCTCCATCACAGTCATTGTATTGACATAAAACTCTGTCTCTGTGTCTCCTATACACGTGTCGTCTAAAGGACTCATATTTCGTAAATGTTGATTTGCAGTCATTAAGTCCACATGTAATACTGAAATTTGCTTCATGGGCATGAATAAGTCCTATGTGCTGAATTAGTTTCATCAAGGTGAATGTTCTCCTTGAGCATTTGGAGCACTGGTATAGACGAGGCATGGTGGAGTCAATACAGGAGGTTTACTTGCCTGGTGATAGTTATTGGCAGAGGCTTATCACTATCCACAACTATTTTGACGATGTATCTTTGGAGAAACATCAGTGTGTTCTTCAGGTGTCGTGGAAATGCTAGGTTGAACACAAAGTAAGCACAGAAAGCAGAGATGATTCCCTCGTCAATTGCTGAGGTGTGACACAACTCTATGCCGTCCACTTTCACAATGTTTGAAGCTCTCCTGGTGAAGGCCATTTTCCAGTCTCGATCCGTCAGTTGAATAGTTGGGTATGGAGTGGCAGGATCACTCTATTCAAAACCAAAAAGGAAAAAAAGACAAGCAAATCAACATGATTTCCTTTCCACTATAAATGTAATTTTACATTATATGGAATAATAGGCACATTTATTATCTACATTGCTTAACTTTTATTGAATATTCGGTCTTTCATTACACATTGTATTGCTGAAATTGTTGGTTATGATTAGAATGTGACAATGTGTATAAGATTTTCATTATTGTGCACAAATGCACTTGATAAAGAACAAAACTGTACTTATCCTTTGAAAAAAGAGCATTTACAAATATATATTGTTTTCAAATTGAGTTTATGTTAGTATTGAAGAAGTAGTTTACTGGAAAATGCAATACTGGTTGAAGGCTAACAGTTAGATGGGACCATCCATACAGTATTCAGAACAGCATCATTATCCCCTTACTTACTGCTTACAGTATTTATGTAGCCATTATAGTAGCAAAACAGCTGCACATGTGTATCTCAATCGGTGTGAGCGAAATCACATTTGTAAATGTGTGACAAAATTCATGAATGCGCGATTAAATTTGTTAATTGTACACGAATCTGCAAATGTGTATTTAGAATCTCTGTGTGCGTAATGAAATTTGATAAATGTGTAAAAACAATCTGCAAATCGGTAGTCAGATTTTCAAGTGTACTGCGATCTATAAATGTGTACCCAGATCTGTAAACCTATAAAACATCTGCAAATATGTACCCAGATCTTTATGTGCCTATGTCTTCAGTTACAATTGAGGCGGGTGTCTCAATTGGTCTTTTCGAACATGATTTTTGCCACAGATCTGCAAGAGCGTGAGGATTTTTCTGTAATGCGTCTATGTAATTATGTCTATGGGTTGTATTGCTTTTGAGGCAGACCATACAACACAAGCCTGTGAGTCTACTCAGGGCAAAATATTCTGAATAAAAATTAATTAATAAATCACAGAAGCTTGAGCCTGTCAAGCTGTGCTCGGGGCCAAGAAAAAGTTTGGTTAAAGACAAAAATCTTTGCACGTTTTTGCACATCTGTCAGAAGTATCTGGGTATGTACTTGCTGATGTTTTCACAGGTTTACAGATTGACCTACACATTTACAAATGTTTGTATACATTTTCCGATCCGTGTATGCATTTACAGATGGCAATACACTTGCAAAACTGAATACAGATTTGTTGATATTCTTACACATTTTCAAATTTGATTACACAGATTCTAAAACCCATTTGCAGATTCTTGCACAGATTCACAAATTGTGTTATGAATTTACAAAGCTGATTACACAAACAGTTCGAGATGCGCATTTGCAACAATTTTTGTAAATCTGATTACGCACACAAAGATTGAGATATGCATTTGCTCTTTTGCTACTATAATGGCTCCATACATGAAATGAAGTATTTGAAGTGAATAAAGCATCCCTTTAATTTGAGATGTTTTGTTTAAAAATGGTATGCAGGATAGACATACCTCTCCAAGAGTAATAAAGCAATCAATGTTCTCCTTGAAGATGTGTGGCAGAAAGATGAGGGCAGCTCTGAAGTCAATATCTGCAAGACATAAGATATACTTCAAAATAATAATAACAATTTATTCTATTTAACATTTTTCCTGGAAATGTATCTTCCAAATTCTGCAACTTCATAGTCAATATAATGCAAACATGAGGGGAAAAAAATCCCCAAAATGTGTTAAAACTGTTATTCATCAAGATAGCAAACAAGTTGAGTATCCATCCAATAATGTTAAAGAACACAGTGAATTATATTTGTACACAAGTTTAATTCTATTTATTTTGATTATTTAATCAGTACCTGGTAGATCCTCTGTGAGAGCCTCTTCTCTTGCTTCCAGGTAGAGTTTAGACAGCGGGGATTTCCCTCGAGCCAGATTGAGAACCTTTGACACAATACAGCTGAAGCCTTCATTGAATCGCTGACACACGTTCCCTATTGCTGGATGGATCCATTCCAACTCATTGTACAACTACAGGTGAAAGATTTGAGATTTATTCAGTATCCGAGTCCAAGCTACATGTAACGTTTCATGCTTAAAAACATTGACATTAACTGTCATTACTGAATTACTTTATATGGATAAGAATCCCAGCTATCACTTAATGATGCATTTTCACTTACCACAGCCGGTGTCCTTAAGAAAGGGTACTTCTTGACGGTTTCCTCCACAGTCATGCCATCTGCTATCTCCTTTTGCCGCCATGCAAAGGTTTGCTGCATACGGTCTTGTACAATCATGAGGTCTGGATGCATCTTCTGGTACTGGCTATGTAACATCTTCACATGAGCATCAATGGAGGATGGATCCTCACCAAGAACACTTGATGCCTAAAGAGAATTCAAATACAGATGCGACTCAAAACAGGAGCTATAATATCCATATTACATTAACCATCCTGTTAACTCTGTCCTTGCCTTAATGTCTGAGCCACAACCTAAGTGGCTCACAAATACAACTGAGCTAAACAGAATGTGGTACAAGGTTGGATACAGTTGCTGTCTTTTTCATCACTACTGACCTCGGACAGATTTCTCAGATTGGTTCTTGCAGTTTCTACAGATTGCACTGATGTCTTGCGGCAAAACTTCTCCTTACTTAACCTCACTTCATCGTTGTAAACCAGGGGGGCACGCTCTGATTTGAACTTACGCCTCAAAGACATATGCCATGTATGCTAGTTGAGACAGACACATCAATGATCAGCATCTTGACAGTGACATACTGATAATGTTACCCCTGTCTGGATAGTATACAATGCTACAGAAGATATTATATTGGACAATTGTACCATCTGATGTTTAAAATACTGTGCACAATTATTTGCACATACACTTACATAACCATTTCCCTCGAGATCCTTCAGGAAAGGATATCTCACAATTAGTGTCTTTACAGCTTGCACATATTCCAAATTTGTGGGATACCTTGGACAAGAAAAGACGTTACTTGACCTGTTAATTAACCTATAGACTGACATGCATAACCAGCAAAAACTATCCTCAGCATCTAACTGCTCAACAGTTAACTATTGACATCATTAATTCAAATATTGCAAATCATTATGTTCCTTTAACAAGTCTAAAATTACTTTAAACCCACTTACATTGTGTATTGTGCCATCGCTTCATAGAGAACCCTGATTATTATGTGTCTGTCCTTCGGGTTTCTCTGACATGGTTCCTTGTTGTCAAGTTTTGTTTGTAGGTGCCTGGGGAATGCTGGGATGTCAAATGTAGTGGGCAGTCTTCCACTAGGTCCACTGCTATAATATAGAAGATTTATTTTATTTTTATTTAATGAGCAAATTAACTTTTAAAACAAACTAAACAATTCACATTGCTATTGCTATACCAGATAGAAGGTCTCCTGTCAATAAGTAATGACTAGAACAAAATTTGTGGTAATGGTACTCTTGCCTCATACACATGCACTTACCATAATGTGGCTGAGCAAGTAGGTTGCTGACATTCTTCTGGAGGCACAGGCTCTAAAGTTAGTGTTACCACTGGCTCTTTTAACTTGCTCACAAACTGACTAAATTTGACCTGCTTCTTAAAAGATCCATGAAACAAGCAGGCAATCATATTCTCTGTGAGGCCACAATCAACTGTTTCACCATCCACATCATTATCTGTAAAGAGTAAACAGAGGGAGATTAAATAGCGACACTTGACAAGAAAGTAGGCAAGACCAACTCAGCTAACTTAACTAAAAAGATATTAGCTTTATGTCCACTGCCCTACAGATACCATAGACATAAAGTACATTACCACTACAATTACCCCTTTAAGTTAATTATGTATTACTGATGTGAGCAAGGGAAGTGACAGGTCAGGAGACATTCAGCTGTTTTAAGAGGACACAAAAATAAAAATCAATTGGATGAAATAGCAAATTGTGGTCACCTAGACTGCGATTAGTGCTAAGCAATTAACCAAGGGTGACAAGGAGGAGGCTTTTGGCAACCTTGTATTTTTTCTCAGCCTCTGAAGTTTATAGTAACATAAAAAAAAGACTGCATAAAATCTCAGTTTTAACTGGAAACTAATACTTTTGCCTTAATTTTCTTTAAACATTTAAAAAATGCTTAATAAGGAGGAGAATTTTACACAAGCAAATAGCTGCTCATGTGATGATTAAGAAATGTTAAATGAGCTAAAGTTTCCTGATAAAGACAAATTGGTGCCAAATTTCAAGCTCTCAAAAATCAAAACGATTTGGTTCAAACGGTTCAATGAAAGGAGGAGCTACGGTTTGGCCAAAAAGCTTATTTGTTCGAGGGTTACTTTCAGACATATTTCCTCTCTCTCAGCAGTGTCAAAATTTGACAATGTCACAGCAGCTGCTGGGGTTGATTGCTCTGCTCCGATTGGTGGGCTCACCTGGCCCTGGTTGCTTGGCAACCAAAGCTTGGCCCTCCCAAGCCTGACTGCAATTAACTTTATTGAACTCTCTGTGTAATACCAATGACTATCTATAATATGGCTCTACGCTGTTATGTCACAAGGAGGTGAATACAACGCCCTCGCTTCATTGAAAACAATGGGAGATCGCTGATATTTGGTGGTTGTTTAAGAGGATTTATTAAGGTGAATAATTGTTGGATTGTGATATGTGATTTGATTACCATGATAACCTGCCTATTGAGGCAAAAGTCTGATATAAACAGAAATTTGACTTAATTGGTCTCGATTAATGTTTGTACAAACTGCCAAGAGGTTGCCTAGTACACGTCGCTAATCCATCGTAACGTGTTGAATTTCACGCATTTATGTTCGCTTTACAGGAAATAATCATGATCTAAGTTAAACGTAATGCTGACGAGAAAATGTTTTAGAAGCTTTTAGGCGACGTTCTGTCTAGTTTATTCGTCTTTAGATTTAGCTAAAGCATGACTTAGCTAACACGCCAATGACAGGCAAAAACGCTGTTTAATACCGCCATTGTTTTCACCTCCACGGCGCACTGAAAGTACCCAGATGGAAGAGGAGCCCTATACAGTTTGAATGTCAGCCATTCTATGACTATGACTATGACTATGACTGACACACACACACACACACGGCTTTCAAAATAACCCCCATCCACAGCCTCATAGGCCGCTATGTTAAAAGGCGGGAAAACTTCTGGAGGAAAGCGGAGATACCAGCATCTTTCAATCGCTCTAAACGTCCCATGTCTTAATAAGCCACATAAAATATATACATCAACGTTCAGGAAATGCTCAGAATGCTCACGGTGAAGCCGGTTCAATTATAGGATATACGGTTTTTCCAAAAAGCCTTCTTGTTCGAAGGTTACTTTCAGCTACAGTTGACTGCTCTGATTTGGTATTAGCTAGCGCTCGCTAACGTTAAAAACCTTAACATTTCAACTACCATTACACTGGTGTTTAAATTTGAATTTACCTCTGAATCTCTGGGCTTCGACTTCAGTCACCTCTACACCTGCCTCACGTATCTTTGTTAGCAGGTCCTGGGTTGAAAGGCCAACGAGCGCCATGTCCCGCTGCGGACTAAAGAGGAGAACTTTCTGGAAACAGTCGGTTTTCTCAAGTGTCTAGTTCAACAACCAATCACGTTTGCGCTACATATGACATGCACCAATCAAAAGCAGAGCTGGCTAAAGTACCCAGCAACGGGCTGGCAACGGCAATACTTAGCGTTTACGAGCTGACGACTAATGTTATATGTTTGACCGCGGGGTTAACGGGGTACAGCAAGCATAAATAACACATTTATGTTGTTGAGAACGGAGTTCATTAAAATAAGTTTCTTGCTAACAACCATGACTCATCCACAGTGGCGGGCCGTGGGGTTTCAGTCACGCCCCCAAACAAAAGCAAAAAACCTTCGGGAACACTCGTGCTATCAATATCATACGGAAACACGCGACACATGACAGGCTGAGACGAGCGCGTTATAACATGGACATTTTAGGAGATGTTTTAATGTTGACAGAGCGAGACATCAGAGATCAACTCAAACGCAAAATCAACCGTAATAAAGGGATTTTAAACTTACAGTTTGGTGCAATGTGAGATGCTTTTTAGCGCTCGTAGTCCCGTACCTGTTCCCTGCCCGAGTCCCAGCTCAGCTGACGCGAGAAACTCTTCTCCTGTCCGGGTTAGCCAAACGTCTTCGTCCCGCTGTCCTTTCCGCTGCTTTGCTCTAGAAGCTTGTCATAATGAAGGGGCGCAAAATATCCGTGATCAGTAAATCCACTTCATTTTGCCTCGTTCGGACATTTCCAAGAGGAATATCGTCTTGCCCATGCGCGGTTACATTAGCGGTTTTCCCAGGCGAACAAAAACGTAGGGGAAGCTACTGTGCTACTGCAGGCCCTGGGGGCGTACTGTTAATGTGTAGAATTCTGATTGGCTGATAATTCGGCTGCGTGGCTGTGTGCGGTGCGGCCTGACATCACAGGGCATGCAGAATCTGTTCTGAAGGCCCTGGCATAAGTGTTTGTAACGCTATTATTACTGTTAAAAAAAATAAATAAATAAAAAAGGCCCTGATGAGGAGCAGTGAAACCTTCACATTTAAAAAAATATAACTACTGAAGAAAGACTTATATAAATATTAGACATATTAATATTTAGGCTACTGCCAATTGTAGAGCCTATCAGCCTAACACACGTACTGTCTATTGTACCTCATGTAGAAGAAAAGGTACATATATGTACCTTTTACCACTTGGGTACATATATGTACCCTTTGGGGCCTCAAAAAGGTACATATAGTTACCTTAAGGTCCAATAATTAGCCCTAGGGGGTACATTAGTGTAGATTGTACCTCGGGGGACAAAAAAGGACTCATACTGTACCCCTATTTCTGAGAGTGTACATCTGTGATATGTTAGGACCATAGGAAGAAACTCTGAGGAGCACAGGGACTGGCCTCCTGCTGGGACTCTGAGGAGCACAGGGACAGGGCTCCTGCTGGGACTCTGAGGAGCACAGGGACAGGCCTTGTGCCGGGACTCTGATGAGCACAGGGACTGGCCTCCTGCTGGGACTCTGAGGAGCACAAGAACAGGGCTCCTGCTGGGACTCTGAGGAGCACAGGGACAGGCCTTGTGCTGGGACTCTGATGAGCACAGGGACTGGCCTCCTGCTGGGACTCTGAGGAGCACAGGAACAGGCCTTGTGCTGGGACTGAGGAGCACAGGGACAGGCCTCCTGCTGGGACTCTGAGGAGCACAGGGATTGGCCTCCTGTTGGGACTTCTGATTAGCACAGGGACAGGCCTTGTGCTGGGACTCTGATGAGCACAGGGCCTTGCCTCCTGCTGGGACTTCTGATCAGCACAGGGACAGGCCTTGTGCTGGGACTCTGATGAGCACAGGGACTTGCCTCCTGCTGGGACTTCTGATTAGCACAGGGACTGGCCTCCTGCTGGGACTCTGATGAGCACAGGAACAGGCCTTGTGCTGGGACTCTGATGAGCTCAGGGACTGGCCTCCAGCTGGGACTCTGAGGAGCACAGGGACAGGCCTTATGCTGGGACTCCGAGGAACAAAGGGACTGGCCTACTGCCGGGAGCCCAGAGTCAGCACTAAACGTTATACAGCTATAATCTAGAACAGTCTTCCTGGAAATGTGAGACAGGCTTCTTCTCTGTCAATGTTCAAATCCAGGTTAAAATCAGTTTTTTAGCTGCAAACAACGGAAATATATCTTTTTTAATGTACTGTGATTATTCATGATTTGAATCCATTGTCTGATTGTTGTGAGTTGTCTTTGTATGAACTGTGCATTGTCTTACTGAACCAAAAATATAATGAATACCAAAAAACTGTGAACACTGCAGAATAAGTTAAACCGTAAAAAAACGTGATATAGGTCTTGAAGTGTTATTTATCTTGATGAGTATATGTGAGTATTGCCAAAGGAACAATATTTGTCTTTAATTCAATAATCAAACTTAACGTCGTTACCCAACACAGCTGGTGGACATTTCTTATTTCTGACACAAACATGTAAATAAGAACCATGTGACCTCAAACCTACTAATATTTGGTCACATTTACAAATCATTCAACAATTAACATCAATATCATTTTAGAAACTATTCCAAAGTGATACATTTTCTCTGATTTTTTGTTCTGGGGGCCCTGACGAGTATGACAGCGAGATTGAAATGTCAAGACTTGTTCAAGACTTTGGAGGCAGTTGACCTACATGATGCAATTTCACACCGTATTTTTCATTTAGCTTTTGTTTAATTATAGGAGAGTGATTCAAAGATTACTTCCCAAGACTAAATGCACAAACATGTAGTTAGGAAATAGCTAAATATTATACAATGTAAGTGCAACAGGTAAGTTTCCTGTTCTTTATTGACACAAAGTACGCAGACAATGAACCAAAGGCCTCTGTTTGGCTTCAGCTTTGGTGAGAAATTTTTTTTTTATATTCTTCCCAAACTTTGGCTTCTCACCAGTAACACTGGGTAACAAAAAAATATTTTTTGAAAATAGTCCAGGGTTTTCCAGCTGAATTAGACTAATTTTGATGCTCTGAGTCAGAAAAAAACCTTGGTTTTGCTCAATCAGGTCAGGATTATTTGCTACAGAAATATTTTTTTTAATCGATTTTGCGTAAAATACACATTTCTGCGGATCATCAGCTGAGAAACCCTTGACGTTTTTTTCCGTTTTCCTCAAGAAATAAAAGTCAACATATCCAAAGTCATTCAGTTTTTATTTACTCCATCAAATTTGATAAGCAGAATTCATAATAACGTAGACGTTCATAATCCGTAACACTATGGCTGTATCTCAAAAAGTTGACCTGATAGAGCAAAATGCATGTGATATTCGGACTCAGAACACCAAAACTAGTCTAAATCAGTTGAGAAACCCCTGACCATTTTTTGGCTGTCAACTTGTGTAATAGAACGCAGGTCATGAAAGTGGGAGCACTGAAATGTGTGTAACCACGTTTACTATCGCACCGCAAATAATTTATGATGGAAACCCTGCACTGCGTTATTTTTCAGCTTTTAAACTTGTTTTTCTAATGGAGGCGTTATGTTCTGTGTCTGTGTGTGCAGCCCGATCTTCCCAGGGCAGTACGCTAACGGATTAGAACATAAATGGGTTGAATGGTGATGGATCCACAATACTTTTTTCTCTGATTATTCACATTTTACAACGCTCAGGGAAAACACATAACACGTTTCTTGATACTGATCGCTTTTGAGAAAGTCGGACTTTACTTTTAGAAAATAAACAGTAGCGCTACTCGTACAACTCGGCCCCTCACTATTTCATTGTATCAACAAATGGACGTAGTGTATGAGCGAGGAAGACAGCCAATCACTGCGCAGGGAGATGAGCGGGTCATGAGCTGCTGCTGCTCTGAGAATCTGGAGACCACAGATTTGGTTCTGGACATCCTCTGATATTTGGTGAGGACATTTTGGTCCCAGCACAAAACCTTGCAATGAAACTGCCAAAATGACTTCTGAGCATGATTTAAGCTCCACCTTACTTCTTAGTCCTACATGCACAATTCCAGGGGAATAATTGAGGGTGACTTTGAACCATGTTGCTCTTTTGTAAGTGAAGTTGATGTCTGTAACATGCTTAAGAGACAGGTCTCAAAGTGCACCACAGACACAGAGTAGTTTTCTGAGTCCAATAGAAGACAATAGCATTAAGCCGACGCTCCACAAGTGCATTCAGAGCCTCTCAGTGTGGAAAACAAAAACATGATGTAAAAGTGGCTGAGGCGGCAGAGTGTCACACATGGACTGATGGGAAGCAGATGTGGCTTTGTGGCGTCTGATTCTCCGTCTCCGTCGGTGCTGGGAGTCCACATGAGGCGCTTGTCTGCTCAGCATCTGTCGTACGCAGCTATAAACGCTCCGGAGCTGGTGGCGGCTGCAGGGAGCACTCGAGCTGCGGTGAAGCCACATCTCTACAGTCACATGGGAACAAAGGACCCTTCAGAACGCTAGAGAACTGTGGCTAGAATCTGCTGGAACTCAGAGTTGTGGAGTAACTAAATCCTATGACATTCTGAGGAAGTTTAGGTTTGTACTGATGAAGCAGCTGCCACAGGCTGCAGGGGGCGGGGCTATCCTTCTGCTAAAAAATAGATAAATGGAATTGTTTAAGATCTAATTGAATAACTTTAAAATGCATGTTTCATCCAATCTTACATATGTTACAAATCTATGCAGTCGGCGTGAAAGATTGTTGTTTATTACTCGGCTCCTCACAGCAGCAGTAGAACGCTCCAATGATTTGAATGTACTTTCAAAACGTTCTACCGGTCATTATTTCTTGATAACGGACCTCTCAAAACATGAATGACCGCTGCCCAATCCCATGGTAACGCACCCTCTGCTTGTAATGCAGATGTGTAGATTGCTCCGCAAGTTACGGCCACTCGGGAGCTAGCCACGCTCAATAAACGCAAATACCAATCAATCAACACAATTAAAATGTTAATCGGAGAATACATTATACATATACATTCTTAATACACATGTACGGAGGTTTTCAGAAGTATCTAAGGTTTTCATGACAAAAATGCAGTTTTAATGCAAGAAAAAGCAATCGCAAAAACACCGAAGTAGATTCCGGGAAATTTTAGTAACATTTGTAGGTGGATTTAGGTTGAGTTTGGGTCACTCACCGCTGATGTTCAGAATTCTTTGTTCAGTTTTCATGCAGTTCCAGAGAGTTCTAGTTTGGAAGTTGATAGCCTAACTGTTACTAGCATAGCCACGGGAAAGCCTTTGGGAACTATTTTATTTTCTGTCATTAAATAAACCTTTCAGCATTCCAAAGAGTGGACTGAAGTTTATTTTGTGTGTTCCGTTGGTAAAAAGCGCGTCGGGCTCCGCTTCGCCCTGTCGGTACTTATTTTCCGATAATGACTTGCGTAATATACATTATCCCTTACTGATGTATGTTTAATTTAAGAATAACAGATTTTTTTTTTTTCAAGATAGTATTCCAAAAAATGAAACCAGAACTTTATCCAGACCTAACCCTGGTCCTGTGGTCAGAACCAGGTCTTAATCCTGGTCCAGGGTTTAGACTGAACTGTATTCCATTGTAATGACTGAAAGTGAGTAAATACAGTTTAATACAACGTAGCTTTTCTCTTTTCCAGGACATCCGCCCCGAATAAACCAAGGGCTCTTTGTGTTTTTATTATCATTGCATTTCCTGTGATTCTCTGATCCTTGTTGGATAAATGACAACTTTGTAAAGTCCTCCGAGATAAATACTGTTGTGACATAGGGCTATACAAAAATAGATTGAATATAATGTAATTACATCACGTTCTCTTCTTCACCTTGTCAGTGCAGAATGGAAAACACGCTCCGGGAGGTGATAGTTGAAATGCATCAAGCAGGAGTCGCTGGGTTTGTTTACAATATATACGTCTTTTTAGAGAAATGCGCAAATGTGAGTGAAATGGGGTTTTTTATGACATATTTATCATTATATTGACAGCATCCGAGCCTGAATCACATGTACAGTATTTGTGTTGGGACAATACTTTGTTGGTTTCTTATTCAGTGACAGAATACTGAATACCTTTTTTAGACCTGGACTTTTAGACTTTATATAAAAGAGAAATATTCAAATGTAAAAGTGGCACTGATGTCCAATTCAGCCTTTTTGAAAGAAATTCAATTTTTCACTTGCTGAATATTTAGTTTAGTTTTTGAATGAACAGTTTTGAAAAGAGAAGAGTAGAGCTTGGAGCAGAGCCGCTGCTTCTCCACGTTGAGAGGAGCCAGTCAAGGTGGTATCTGTTCCAGATCCCAGAAGGAGACCAGGGGAAGACCAGGACACAGAGGGACTGTGTCTCCCAGCTGGCCTGGGACCGCCTTGGGATTCCCTCAGATGAGCTGGAGGAAGTGTGGGTGGAGAGCTCAGACTGCTGCCATGTGACATGGGAATGGATAAAATGCACTTTTATTTTTCTTTTGAATGAGCTGGAAACAGAAAAAAGTGCTGAGTCGTTCTGAAGCAGTTTGTGTTTTACAATCGTTATTTTTCTTGCTTTTTTCTACCTGTAAATATTTCTGCAGTACAGTGTTTATGGTTTTACACTGATCCAGACCAGAGCAGAGAGGATGCACGCTCCCACCCAAGCAGATCAAGCAGAAAACCACTGGACGGATGGTTTAAAAAAAAAAAAAAAAGGCTAATAATGCATTAAAAATTTCACTCTGAACCAGTGCAGATACGATGTCAGATTACTAACTATAGTACTATTGATAGTATCTTTTAGAAAAAAGTAATCATACGTTTGTGTGGATGGATCTGTTTCTGCTGCTGGACACCTGCATTCTCCTTCAAGGCTCAATAAAGTATCTAACTCACTGTAAAATAGAAGAATATGGATGGAAGGAAGTCAATAGCAGGCGAGTGGCACGTCCTTGTATAAATACTGCAAAAAATCCTATGTCAACATGGGCATAATGTTAATGGGAGCAGTGTGAGGAGGACATCTGGACTGTGGAAGAACCGTGGAGCACCCTGGGAAACCTGAGCAGACCCCTTTCGCACCTTTATTCAGAATGAGCTGTTGTAACTGCTGTGAAACGCATTACAGCCGTCCTGCTGATACAAACTATTTTCTACCGCGTGAACTTGGACCTGCATGATGACTTTAGGGCATGGCTTTCTGAAATGACAACCCCAATCACCCTCTGACTGACTAGTAGCCTGCGCACGGTTGTAATTGTGTCATTACTTGTGCAAATAGGCTCAGGAATAGCCTCCAATCGAGCAGTCAGAAATAACATGCGCCGTGTTTTCTTAACGGATTCGTCCCGTAATGTAACGTGCTATGCTCACACTTAGGAATTGACAGCGATTAATCCTTAAACACATGCTTAGCTGGGGCTAGTTTTCTGCTATGTCCAACAACTGTCTGGAACTGGTCCAAAAACAGCAGTGGAAGAGGAAAAAGTACCCCCCCTGCTTTAAGAAAGAACGATAGAATCATGTCAGTCCTCACAAATGGCTTGCATTGTATTGAGGAGAAAACAAGGCTCACCTCAGTCGACAGCCAAATACTGGACTTTATTTCAAGCTTTTTCCCGTCCAAAGGAGACGTCTGACAAGTTTAGGAGCTACAGTGATGAAGTATTTATCTAAACGTACTTTTGAGTTATCGGGGCAGGTGTAAGAGCTATGTGTGGAAAGGAATTCTGCGGAACTGGGTCGATGTTTGCTCAGCAGAAATATTTCAATCAATGATACTATTTCCTAACATGATTTTATGATAGTAGATTGGGCTGGATGTAAAAATACAGGAAGGCAAAAAATAAAACAAACTCTTCAGTGGATGGGCCGATGTTCAAAATTCAGGTCGAAGACTGAGGCACTCAAAAGTTGCAAAAATCTTGAAAAGCCTTTATTAAACATGGTAAAAGGAGTTAAAAAACATACTATTTCCAATGGCTATACACTACAGAGACTCCAACCATGGAAGTTGCAGTAGCCTGAAGATCTATGGCATTGGTCTAGCCTGGTCGTACCACACCATAGTATCAATCAATCAATCAACGTTTATTTGTAGAGCGCCTTTCCTACACAAGGCAACAAAATACAGTACAAAATACATTTCGTACTAAGGTCTGGAGGTGCTCCATTGAGCTCATTTAACAGGTGGGAGGGGTTTGCAGATTTAAACGATTAGATCTGAGTTTACTGTAATGTATGTAATGCGCCCGAGTGAGTCGTTAGCATTTAGGCTAGCTTTAGCCATCTCCTTTGCCTCTAACGAAGCCCGTGGGGAGTAGCGCCACAATTTTTTCCATTACATTTGCTAAATATTCTTCTTGCTCCGGCTTCAATTTCTTGATAGAACCAGACCGGAATACTTTACTATCGCATTCTTCGCCATTGCCAAACAACAACCTGCGACGCAAACTCTTGACGTCACCCACATCTAACTACAACACCCGCCTCCCGCGCTCTCTGATTGGTCGGATGGATTTCAACCGATTGTAATCGCAAACACAGGGATCAGACCTAGACGTTACATGCAGGAAAAGGATGATTGACCGGAGTGTACGGATGGCTAAGGCCAGGCTAGCATTGAGCATTATCCAGAGACAAAAAGAGGAGGAAACAGACTCAAAACATTTCTTCAATTCCCAGGTTTAAGTGAAGAGTTGGACTATTCTCCTTTTCCTGAACCCTCGAGGCGCCACGGTTGACTTAAGTTAACAATATGCGGTACTGTTTAAAAGGAGGGTGTCAACATTCATTCAAACTCCCTGCCACACAACGATTTGCACTATTTCACTATTTCCTTTACCCCTGAGTATGGTACAGTGCGAGTTCTGTTTGTGTATTCGTGTCCCAATGACTTGTATGTGTCATTAAAAAAATATCTATTTACAGTATATTTCATAAAAATCAACGATTGCCACACCCGTATGAAGTCCTAATATGCTAATTAGATTCATTTAGATTTACAATTCATTCCTACATAAAAATTGGGCCATCCTTGTAATTTCTCTAATTTACAACAAGCCTCTATCTCTCTATCACATTTAAGTTGTTAAGAAATCAAAATATCAAAGTTGAGCCTGTTAGGAAAAAACTTGTCTTGGTCTTTTCCTTAAGACCGTTGGATAGTTTTTGTGTATTGTAATGAAAATAGGTGTGTATATATTATTTAGCACCGTTTGGGAGTTTCAATATCTTCACCAATCCATGTGACTTTAGGTCCACCCACTGACCATGTGACCAGCACTATTCTGTCTGAATCTCCTCTCGAGTCTGCCCTGAAGAAGACCAGAACGCTGAAACGTGTAGGCCTGATTTGAACCTCTTTTGCCGTGTTATAATAAAGCCTTTTAAAAGACTTTTGAATGCTTTTATGATCATTTGACACAAGAAGCAGAATTGCTGCATTACTGAGCGACATGAAGACACTTTCTAGGCAGCGAGGTCGCTTCCCACAAATGTTTCCCTAAATGGATCGTGCATCTGTTTATAGGTTTAAGAGTCCTCTATCTCATATCAAGTTTACTGTATCTGTTCCACTTCAAATGTCTGAAAAATAAAGCTGCATTTTCACCTAAGAAAGTTGACGGAAGTGAGTCCTGGGATATACACCAGGACCTACTGTATCTGCGGCAAAGCAAGTTTATTCATTTAGTGGTTGTGCATATATCTGTGTGTGTGTGAGTATGTATGTATGTGTATACTTAAGAATATATGTGGTGTAGGGTGGCTCTGTTGGGTGGTGGGGTAGACAGGTCATGGGTATATGGGACTATTTTTTTACTAAACTGTAAAGCACTTTGTGTTGCATTTCCTGTGTGAAAAGTGGTTTATAAATAAAGTTTGATTGAATTGTCTGCACCTTAAATAAATATTCTCAAGAATCTTTAAGGGTTCAATGTAGCACCACTTTCCATTCGTCTTCCACTGGCTCTGGAGTTCAGCCTGTGACCTGGGGTGACGTGGAAAGTAAATGTACTTTTACTCCTTTCTCCAAAACCCAAGTATCTATACTCTCCGTACCGTACATTTCAAAGATAGGCTCAGTACTTTACAGGTGACAACACAACATACAAGACGAGAAAGTGTCCAATCTTCAACATCATTCATTTATTGGGGTTAGCCATTATTACTGGCCATACCTGCAGGGAAATGCCAGATACCATCAGACCTCTGAAGCTAAACAGGTCAGGGCCTGGTCAGTACTGTGATGGGAGCCTTTGACACGGTCTGGTTGCCTTACTTCTGTCAGTGTGCCTCAGGGCAGCTACGGTAGTGAATGAATAATGACCTGTGTCTTTTAGTGCCCAAAAAAAAGCACTAAAACCGATGCATTATTTATGTTTTTAAATTACCTTGACTTTAAGCAGAGTATATTTTTATTCAACTATCTATGCTCCGGTTTCAGTACCTAAAACTATGACTATCTCCACGTCTGCTCCTGGACCAGAAGCAACTTGTCCACTCGTACATGTGCAAACAAACAAGTGGAGAATGATTCCATCGTAGGTCCTCACGTTTCTCCACAGGTTTGAACCAGAGCAGTTGACCCATATCAGCGCCGCCCTCCCCCACGCCGCTGCCCTCCCCCACGCCGCTGCCCTCCCCCCCGACATGATGGAGGAGATAAGCACGTTCCCAATCACTGCTTCAGCTCAAAAAGAGGCTCTGCCCAAAGCGCCAGATGTCAATAATTGTTGAAAGCAAAAGTTGTGTGTTTTGGCCGTGAACATGGGAGAACATGCACGACCTGAGATGATTGTGAGGTATTTTTAACCACATTCACACGAAACACGTCACAGATACAAAAATTAAGTACATTCAATTAGATAAATGATAAAGTTTGAAAGTAAAAAAAAAATTGTGAATATATTATTTTTGTGTGTAAGTGTTGTGTGTGTCAGTGTTCAAAGGCCAGTGGAAGAAAGTCATTTCCCATTTTATATTTTCATCGAGTGTGTGTGTATGTCTTTGTGCGTGTGTGTGTGTATGTGTGAGAGAGAGAGTGTGCGTGGCTTGATGGATGTATGATAGGGACTGTTGTCTGTCGGTGTGTATTTCCATGTGTGTTGTTTGTGGTGGCTCTTTATGGATGGGTCTGATGGTTCAATGTCTTTAATGTAGAGTAATTGTTGTTTAAAAAGTACTTTGCAAATAGTGTTTTTTTTTCTAATGGATGGATTGATTGATAGACATGAGTAAATAAATACTTTTTATTCTGTTATTGGCTTTTTACAAGTACAAAGCATACAGCATGTTATAGTTTTATCAAAAGTGGAAAATACTGATGTTACATAATGTAACAAATGTAAAAAATAAGTTTTCAATCTTACTTTCCCCGAAAGTAAGAACATACATTTCAGCATATGAAAATATCCATAAAAACATAGCTTAAGTTTAAGTTAATAAACAGTACAAACATGTAGAAACCATACATGTCAAAGTAATGGACAAAAACTTCAACAAATGACAAATGATTCCTTCATCAAACAAAAAAATGTACACATCATGTTTTAGTGGAGATCATCTTTACAAAACTCATACATGACATTATTGCCCAAGAGACTTGGCTGGTCAGAACTATCTGCAACAAAAGCACTCAGCCTGATCTGCTCCGATCGGCTCAAATCCTCAAATGTCTGTAAGGCAGGGAATACGCAAAATCCTCACCATTAGTTTAGTCAGTCATTTTACTTTATTGCACCAGAAAACTTTCCTTTTTATTTATTGGGTTCTGGAATTGTACTTTTCCTGTCCTTACACCTCCCAGCTGAGGGTTTGACAGAAGCATTATTGATAACTCAGGACGGAGATGATTGACTTAGATTGTATGGAGTGAGCTTTGTACTACATGAAATCAGATTGATTGGATTCACTGCACATAGGCCTCGTGGATGAATGCACAATTCCAAAGTGATACAAAAACAACAGCAGATGATTCCAAGGAAGTTTGTGACAAACCATGGGAAATGTGCTGTCTGCCTTACTGCATTAAAAGTCGTCTACTTTGCATCATGTAAAAAATAGTCCAATGTTCTCAAGAAATATACAGTCTTTTCACATGAGAACATCACCATATTCTACAGCTCCTTAATAAATAGTCTCATACATATTGCTCTGCCTCGCCTTCATTTAGAATGGTTACTGAGCCGTCGCCACTGTTCATTTCAATGTCTTTTGCCGCTGCGTTTTCGGGAAGCAGTGCTAAGTCCTTGAACACGTCTGCATAATGTCCAAATCCTGGGCCCCAGTGTAGGAGATTGTCCCAATTGAAGCCCCCGGCCTGTTGGCCCAGTTTGTGCGGGAGGGTGTGGTGCTGCTCACTGGGCACCTGGGGAATGCCCGGCCCCCCCTCTGCTCTGCGGCTGGAGTAGCGCCGCTGCTTGAGCCGCCCTCCGTAATCTTCATCATCAGCGTCCGACTCGTTGACCTGGGAGAGCTTGGGGACCCGGGAGCTGTAGGACACAGGCTTCTCCCGGTCGTACTCCATCTCAGAGCAGGTGAAGGAGTCGTGTGAGTCGCTCTCTGAGGAAGACTCTGGTGCAGGGATTCCATCCGCCGGGTTCCGCACCCTGGACAGAGGCCTGCGGCAGTCGTCCTCAGAGCTGGAGCGGCCGTGGTCAGCACTGCAGATGCTGGGGTTACGCGGCCGCGGAGTGTTGAGGCGCTCCACCTCCTCAATGGAGAGACCCACAGGAGGTCCTGTCTCCAGAGGGATCTGCTCAATGGGCTGTTTAAGCCGACTGCCCGGTCGGGATGTATGTCCATGTCCAGCCATGGTCTGTGGGCTTTTACTGCGGCGGCCCAGCCTCGTGGCGTAGTTGAACATTGGTGGTGGAGGGTCGTTGTGCAGATCTAAGGGACTTCCTTCTCGGCGGCTCAGGTTGAGCTCTCTGGTGGGAGTGTTGCGGTAGAAGCTGGAGGGCTTGTTGAATGGGGCAGGAGAGTGCCTGGACAGAGGGTTGGGTGTGGGGCAGGCAGAGTGAGCGTGGCTCAAAGGAGTGGACCTCAGTGCCTGGGTATATGGGGGCTGATAGTTGTAGCTTGTGGCCCCCAAAGGTAAGGGGGACTGCCGGGCAAAGCCCAGAGGGCTGTGTCTCTGGATGGAGAACTTAGGCGTGTGGCTGCGGAACTGCTTGTAGTGCTGAATAATGTCTGCGTCTGATGGGGCGATGCTGCTGGCATTGTCAATGTCATAGTGCTCAATGTCTGGTTCAGGGCCGTTGCAGGGGGCACAGGGGGCACTGGGGATGGCCTCATTGTTCTGAGGAATGTCAGTTTCATCATAGATCAAGTACGGGTTTTCCCTCTCGATGATGTCAGGCTTGGGATTGCCCTCAGGCTGTTTGCGTACCGTCATGTCGTCACAATAAGGTGGGATGTTATCAGGATCATCAAAGGCCACGTTCTCACTTCCCTTTTTCTTCTTCTTTTTCTTGTTTTCTTTAGGTTTCTTGTCCTTGGGCTCTTTTGGCACTTTGGTCTTGTTGCGGCCCCTGCAGTGGTTGCAGAGAATGAGGCTGAGCACCACTAAGGCCAGGACAGTGGCACAGCTACCAACAATGGCTGGCACTGCCCAAATAGGCAGGATCATCGCCTCTGTGGTGGGACTGGGGCTGCACACAAAGCCTCCATTGTTGGCTGTTTTGCAGACAGTTCCTTGTGGGCACTGAACACCCAGGCAGGCCACTAAGGTCTCGCAGGTTTGACCTGTGTAGAACTCGGAGCAGATGCATGAGAATCCAGAGCTGGGGTCCGGTACACAGCTTCCCTGGTTCTGGCACGGGCTGGAGGCACACTCTCCAGGCGGGACGCATTGGTAGGTATACCACTGGTTCACACACATGAGGCCGTCCCAGCATGGGCTGCTCTCGCACAGGTTGGGACCTCTACAGCCAATCTTCACAGAGGAGCTGGTCTTGGTCAGGCTAACAAGGCTGTGTTCTCCGGTGAAAGGCAGAGTCTCTCCGTTGTATTTCACATAAGACAAGCATCCATCAAAACCTGTAATAAAGGACAATAAGTGGATCAGACACTAGTTCAGATAATCTATTAAAATATATCAAAACCAATAGAAAGTCCTAATTGTTAATAAGGCAAATTATAGCTTGAAATATACACGTGTATCATTTGGACTAAGAACAAAGCTGCTTCTACATTGTAAATGAGAACCATTTGGCCTTCTCATCAGCACATGAAAAGTGAGCAGACCAATGAAAGGCCCCAGTCTGAGGTAAGGCTCAGCAGCTGCAGATGTTCATGCACAAAATATGTTTGTTTTGAAATATGCCTCAATCTCTGTTTGAAGAAGGTCAACAAATCACACATCTTAATTTGACCATATTAGTCCATAGTATTAGGTTTTCTTCCCCTCCCCTCAAATTGGAAAATTTACTGTGTTGCATGTTTGGAATCCAATGCTTTGTGCTCGTACAAACTCTCCTCCAGGAGAAGCCTATAAACTACTCCTATGTGGATAGAGTCCTCTCCTTCCATTGTGCTGGGTACAATGGACATTGTCACACTGACAAAAGACACTGTCAGGTTTCTTAGATCTCTATATATGGTCTGCGGATAATTCTGCAGACTGATAATTCATTTTAAGAAAGAAAAAGAAAATAAACTAAGGAACTAGTCAGTATAGTCCCAGGACGGTGTTTACATGAATTGTCATGACTCTGACAGAGTGTGGAGGAGGCACATGCAGCTCTACCATGAGAGCGACGGGGGATGTGCAGTTGGGTCAACACTGCAGTCAATCCAACAAGATACAGCTACAGAGTCCCAGGCCGTTTTTAAGGATAATAGAAGAAGACATAAATATTCTTTCACAAACAAGCCATGTTTTTATATGGATTGTTTTTGGGGAATATTTCAGAACTGAGGACAGCGCATATAGATCACCATAGGACACTCAAACCACTGGAAGATACGGCTGTGAAATAATTTCATCCAGTTAAAGGCTGAGGTGTCCAACCTGTGACTCGAGGGCTACTAGTAGCTCGCCACCCCTTTCCAGGAAGCTCCCCACAGGATTAAGAAATTACATCAATATGTTGATTATTCCAAAATGTAATACCAACTTTGTAAAGATGGATAAATAAGAATTGTCCGTTAAGATGCAGGGTATCTCGGTTTGCTAACAGCTTATTTCCAAAGCTGTTATCAGTCTGAACAAAGCACTTTAATGATCTTGCACTTGTTTCAGATTCAGATTCATTTGTTTACCATTCGCAGTAAAACCACATTGGAATACATTTGCAAAAGTCCCCAGTGTGCACAAGGTAAAAAGTACAGAAATAAAACAAACAAAACACTAAACAATTGACACTGTGAAATCGATCGAACAAAGGAAAGATCATTTAAAGTGCTCTGTTCAAACTGATGCTTTTGCTGATTGGTTTCAACGTTATAATTGTTTCTTGTACTTTTTAGCGTATTTCATAGTACTTGTCTGGTGCACACTGGAAACTTTTGCACATCTATTCCAATGTGGTTATGGCTGCAAATGGAAAATAAAATGAATCTGAATCTGATGTATAAAAAGTCCTCGGCATAAATGTCTATCACCGTTGCCAGTATAGGTTGGACCTGCTCTGACCTGCAGCGGTTTTCTGCTGGGCCGGTCCGGGCGGGATTCCTCCGATCGACAGAGTGAGCACACCGAGGCCTCCGAAGTCCTGTGTGGGGTGCTGGATGAGTCTGGGCAGAGCCGAGTCCAGGTTCAGGACCGTGGTCGAGCTGTTCTTCAGCAGCCGCAGGGTATGCCACTGGCCGTCCGACACCAGCGCCTCTGCAACACTCCGCTCCACTTTCCCAATGACCCCGGCATCCGAAATGTAGTGGATGTTCCCATTCCTCAGCTGCAGAAAGAATATGGAGTACTTTTAGTATGTTTTTTTTTTTTTTTTTTTAACACAGTGCAGTTTGCAATGGGGTGTAGGGGTGTAATGTCTCATAAACTTTAGATTGATGGATGAGATAGATGGTAGATAGGTCCGTAGGTTGGTAGGTAGATAGTAAGTAGTCTTTATTTATATACCGCCTTTCACAGACCAGAGTCACAACACGGTTTACATGAGGCGCATGTCAGACCTGTTGTACATGTTTTTAGTGGTAGGGGAAACCGGAGTACCCGGAGGAAACCTACGCAGACACAGGGAGAACATGCAAACTCCACTCAGGAAGGCCCTGGTCCGACCGGGATTTGAACCCTTCTTGCCGAGAGGCGAGATAACATACACACATAATTCTATACGTTTTTTATAATTAATGTGCTTGTAAGCTCAGTGCAAAAACAGACAAATAAAACCAGAATTTCCAATGGGGCAAGTACTGTATTGCACATGAATTTCCCCGTTCTCTGTTTTTTGTTTTTTTTACGGCTCCCTAAATCTCATTTTCAGTTAAATTTGCTTCAACAGTAAAGTAGGAATATTTGGTCATACAGTCTTTCTTAAATAGCTTTTTATTACCTTATAATCTTGTCTTGTATTGGTGAGAAGGTTAAAATGACTTTTAAGCCGAGAAACTAGTTTGTATATTGAATGTAACCAAGCTCCAGACATCAGCTATACCCTTGTTCAGCAAAGAACAAGATTTTACAGATAGCACACACATATAATCCGAGTAAATAAATAATCTGAGGTCAAAACTACAGGGCCCCAGCTTCCCAAAGAGTCCAGTCATGTGTTTGTACTCCAAAGGATTCTCAAACAGAGGCCATTTGAATTGCAGGGACAATAAGAAAGATGTTGAAAGGGTTGTATAACGATTGACAAAAGTATAATGTTTTGGAGGTTCACTAGTTCCATATGAATCATGTCAATACTTTTGCATCTGTACTGGGAGCCCATATTGGCACATGGCACCGTCAGAAAAGTCTGTTATTTAAACGTTTAGACAGTTGACTTCTCTAATATGCACAGTCAACATAAACTTGGAATCTAGATCAATGCAGTGAAATGTAATGTCGCATCCATCATGAGCGATGAGAGGAAGTCTTCTTTCAGTCCTCACAAAACTACAACCACAGAGCCTTCGCAATCCGCTGTTGAGGTCGCAGATTGAAAACAAAAATGCGGCTGACGTCCATAAATCTCTCCCCCCAGCGGGACACACTGCCATCCATCATGTCCTCGCAACTTGTGTTTAGCAGTAACGACTCGGCCAGATCAGAAGCACACGACCAACCGACTCCGCCCACTTTCTCCGAAAAAAAACGAAAAGGGCCGAGGAGCGTCCTAAAAAGAAATTAATCAAGCGCTGTTTGGCACGGACAACAAATGTAAGGTTTTCTCTTTTTTTTTTTATCTCAAAGGGTATGGTAATCGCATATGTGCTCTCCCCCAATTGGATGGAAAAGAGATCCTGCTTCCTTGCCTTTTAAAAGACCCCAAAATCAGCAGTTGATAAGTTGCTTCCGGAGCGATTGATTTAAGAATGGGAAAAACGGGAAATTCTCTGCCAAAGAATACAGAGCGCTTAAACCTGGAAAAACTATTATTGGCTCTATCTATGAAACGCACTGCTTTTTAATACGCCTGTAGATAACATCCCGCCTGTTCGCGTATGTACATGGACTTCTCTGTTTCATTGCACTTGTGATGTCTCGCTGGGACATCACAAGGGAAGGTGGGATGGGGGGGAGAAGAGGGGGTGCTGATTTGATGAGCCCCCGTGGCCGCAGAGTGCCGGGAGACGGAGAGGTATATACTGGGAAGCGTGTGTGTGATAGCAAACAAGCGACAGAAAGCACATGGTTAGTGGTTGCGATGATGGAGGTTCTAAAAAAAGGGAAAGATGGAAGAGCGCTCGGGGAGGGCTTGGGTCGCTGCCCGGGACCGGTCACAGCAGAGGACGAGCCAGCACAGGAAAAGCAGCTTCCAGTAGATGCATGGAGGGGTGCTGTAGCCGTGGGTTGGAGGATTACACGCATGTATGTGGACATGTTTGTGTGGATTACATACAAACACGTTGGAAAGTGATCCAAAGGAGACTTTCTCCGCCGGATTACAGTCTGTGTTTGAACTGCACACATGTGGCCATAACTGTAAATGATTTTAGTGACAACGAGCCATCTGGCCCACATGTTTAGAGCTCTTTGGGTTCGAGATGTAAAATGAGAAAAAGCTGTTTCGCTGCAGTAATCAGGAGCTAATTATAACTTCGGTGCGGCTTCCAAAGGTTTATGGCTCCAATTGAAATGAACTGCAATAGAGGTTTTGTTCTATAATCAAGCAATGTTTTGTATTGTTTATGGAGATTAAACATATTGTCTAAAACAATTCAATTGTTATTCTGCTGGCAGTGTGTGTGTGTGCGCTTTTGTAGGTGTGTGTATGAGTCTGTGTTTGTATGTGTGTGTGTGTGTGTGTGAGTCTGTATGTGTCTGTATGCATGTCTGTGTGTGTATACGTGTGTGTGTCTGTGTGTCTGTATGCATGTCTGTATGTGTATACGTGTTTGTGTCTGTATGTGTGTGTTAGCATGTGTCTGTAGGTGTGTGTAGGAGTCTGTGTGAGTCTGCATGTGTCTGTGTGTGTATGCATGTGTGTGTGCGTCTGTAGGTGTGTGTGTTAGTCTGTGTGAGTCTGCATGTGTCTGTGTGTGTGTATGCATGTGTGTGTGCGTCTGTATGTGTGTGTACACTACCGTTCAAAAGTTTGGGGTTACCCAAGTGTTTTCCATGAAAAGTCACACTTATTCACCACCATACGTTGTGAAATGAATTGAAAATAGAGTCAAGACATTGACAAGGTTAGAAATAATGATTTGTATTTGAAATAAGATTTGTTTTGCATCCAACTTTGCTTTCGTCAAAGAATCCTCTATTTGCAGCAATTACAACATTGCACCAAAAACCAGACATTTGCAGCTAGAATAGTCTTTTACCACGTAAGCAATGTATAGTGTATTTCTTTACAGTTAAGACTAGTTTAAAGTTATCTACAGTGCTTTTCCTTCAAAAATAAGGACATTTCAATGTGACCCCAAACTTTTGAACGGTAGTGTATGTACAATTAGAAGAAAAGCAATTCATTCAGTCCCCAACCAGTTCCTATTTTTTTATTCAGCCCATAACCAACATAAATTGGACACCCCTTCTCTAAGTGTTTTTTTTTTATCGTTGCATTTCCTGTTTTTGAACTGTTTTATTCTCCGATCTGTGTTGACGAATTCAACATTTTTTGCAAAGTCCTCCAAGATAACTTCTGTTTTAGATTGAATTTGAAAGCCATTGTGAGCCTGGGAGCCCGTACCTTCACAGTGGTGTAGTTGCTGCTCTCTTGCACGTGCAGCAGTGTTCCGCTTTTGCTGCGTGTCCTGAACTTGAGCTCCAGGCTGCTGGGCACACGGGGCTCAGAGGACGGCCCCTGTAGAGCCCGTCTGAGCAGGACGTCCCGCTTCGGACCCTGCTTCAGAGAGTAGTCCAGCCGACCGGTTCCATCCAGTGCAAGGGCGGTGTCAGGAGTCATGTCTGAGAAGGAGAGAACAGAGAGAGTTCATTTAGCCATTTCACAATCTGAATCCTTTTATCGCCAGTGTAAGTTCACTTTGGTAATGAGCCCCTTATGAACCAATGGCTTTATGTGTTTTTATCATAGCATTTCTTGTGTTTTAACTGTATGATCTCTGATCTGTGTTGGTGAATTCAATGGTTTTGTAAAGTCCTCCGGCGATGACTCTTGTAGGGCTACACTAGAATAAACTTGAAATGAAGTAACTTACAGGTCACTACTGTCACACATTAGGGACAAAGTGACACATGTGGTTCTATATTCCACATTCTGACTTTATTCAATTTTTTTTTTTTCCCATCCCTAAATTATTATCATGCATGTTTGCAACTTTTTTGATTTCACCATGAAACAAACGATAGCAGAAAGTACCGTGCTTTCTTTTGCAGCTATAACGACATTCATTTTACCCCAAAAAGCTGAATCACACATTTCTCAGAAGTGGAGTCTGGGGAGAGGCTCGTTTGTTCCCACAGAGAAAATGAAAGCAAAGAGACAAAACATGGACACAATAAAAGCTGTGGAGCCGGTACAGAAGTTGCAGCTCTGAGGACGAATTGAGTTCTGCACACAAGGCTTTCGTACAGCACTCCGACACTACACCGCTTTTAATGTTTGAGTGGTTTGCAAAAATGGATAACTCTGCTTTGAAAATGTGACAAAAAGTTCTATTCCCCTATTCACAATCTTCAACATGTTTCGTTATTAGAACATTCGCACACATTTTCTCAAGAAGTGGTGAATCTCTATTTGTTGCAAAAAAAAAAAAAAAGCGATTTGGTAAAGATTAATTAAGACAATGGAGAAATGTACATGTCACATTCGGAAAATATAGAGCAGAATTTTCTGTATGGCCAAACGTATTAATTTCTTTCTTGACCAAAATCAAGTTGGAATGGTACGGAACAGCAGCAGCTAAGGCTGGAATCCATCAGTTTGTATTCCATGGTATTGTGGTATATGGTATAACTGAACGTTCTCACTTTGTTCCTACTTTGAATTAAAAATTTTTTAAAAGGGAATTGACCCATTGTCTCTATCTACGGCAGCAGCATCTCATTTTTATTCAAATCTACTCGCGATGGTATGTTTAGTTTGGTGTGCAGTCTGAGTCTGTTTTCACTGATGGAGCAAAACTACGAGCAAGAGTCTCAGCTTCTCTAAGATCCCACAGCAATATTTTTTTAAAGCACTCTTGAAGACCAGATCATTTAAGGAGTGAAAAGCAGACCGTTTGGAATATCTGAATTGATAAATGTCTTCTCCGTTTAGTATGGCATGGGACCACATAAACTGGATACTACTGAGACAAGGCCAGCAGATGCATTCAAGAGCACAGGGGAAAGGCCATGGATGCATTAGAATAAAAGGCTCCTCTCTCATGTATTAATCACAATAAAGTACAGACCCTCGCTGCACATGTTTCATTGTTTTGTTTTTGTTGCATGAGACAAAAGCAGGAAACGTTGTACGTTTAATTACAAGACTTGCCTAAAGTAAAAAAGATGTTGCGTATTTACATCTGCCAATTGTGCGCTTGTCTGTCTGTACGTCTTTACATCTACAATTACAGTTCCGAAGTTTGAGAACAATCAACATTTTTTACACGACCTTTGAAAGACCCCACCCTGCTCAACGGCATGTAGACTGGAACCATAGTGGTCAGTCCGGTTTCAGAGCAACATAGAATAGAGTCAGTTTTTTGAGCATTCTTTGTATTCTTATGCTTTGTAAACATACTAAATGTTTGTGTTTTGTGTCTCCAAATTTCCACATTTATACAAAAAAAAATGGTTGGCGTCCACATTGCACAAACTTACATTTCTCACAGAATTTCCCTGTGAATCCGTCCACACATTGGCACTGCTGCCAGGACCAGTGATCCAGACAGGTGCCCCCGTGTCGGCAAGGGTTGGCAGTGCAGGCTCCTTCCAGTCGCGGACATCTACAGACAAAATGCAAAAACAAAAATAGACAGTTTGACAAGTCAGGCACCACCAGGGGGGTCTAACCAAAGCGATGAGTAGTGGCTCTTTTCTTTAATAGAAAAAGCCATAAAGAACCCCAGAGAATTAGCATATTAAAAGATCTATCCTCGCCTCACTATTCATCGCAGCTGAAAAAATGCTCAAATTCTGCTTTCCCTCGTCAAAGAAATCTGCCAGCTGTATAAAAACACATCTTTTCAAGAGGGGTCCGTTGGGTTTGAGAGTGTGAACAAGCATCCCCCAGTGAGAGGGGCACAGAGGACAGACAGATGGGCTGAAGAGGGAGCAGATACGGGGTCAGGGCGCAAGTAATCCCAAGCGAGCGATACTGTACGACACAGAGACGCAACATGGCGCCTCATACTGTACACACTTCAGAAGTCCACAGAACTGACTGAGACTAATACATGCTGTTGGAATGTTTTCATACTGAAACTAAAGACATTGTTCATAGATTTTTCTTAATTCTCTTGAAAGGCAAAATACATTAATAGTCTGATGGGGAAAGCGAGACCACCATCACCTCTGACCCAACACCAGCGTTTTGAGATGAACAAATTGCAATATTATTATTATTTTTCTCTCCCCATAAATCATTTTTATGTGGTGTCCAAAAAAGAAAAAGAAAAGTCTTAAGAAATCCTTAATTATCTAATGGGTTTCCTTTTTATCATGATTTAAAAGGTTAGACGACTGCCTCTGAAAAGGCTTTTTTTATTATTTTATTTTTCCATTTAGTCCAAACGCTAGAACCATAGACTGTACATATTAACGGACATAATCACGCCTATCTCCGCCGTTCTAACTAATGGGTCAAAAATTGGGCTTTTATGGAGTGATTCAAAATGGCCGCGGGGGCTGGAATATGTGAAAAAACGCATCTGCGCATGCGTCAGCCGGCACGGGCCCCGTTCATTTAAACGAGAGACTTCAAAAATTCACAAGAGTAAACTAGACTGGTCCAAAAAAATTCACCCCCCTCAGCATTGACACACATGTGGAACAGAGCTTTGGGCCAAGAGCCAACTTTTGGACCATCCTGTAAAGGTGTTTTAGAGGGGTAAGAAGATGCTATATGTTAGCATTGGCAAATTCTTATTCTGGGTCCACCCCCATCGGCCCGGGGTGGTATTGCAGCATGTCAGCGCACGTCATTTTGGCCACTTTTGAGCCGGGACCCGCCCCCACTGGCTAGAACACTTTGTGGCAGGCATGTCCAAACCACGGCCCGCGAGCCAAATGCGGCCCTCTGTGTCATTTTATGTGGTCCTGCCTCGCTAACCCAAAGTAGTGTTTCAGATAATATACACATCCAGCCATCTTCAGCTCAGCCAATAAACGCATGTTACACCTCGTTGTAAAGCTCAGGACCTTGAATGTTTATGTTTATTGTTTAATTCTGTCTATGCCTAATGTTGCAGGGGAGATGATACACATTTGTTATTCAGCCAGCTGTGTTATAGCTTGCTCTAAAGCTAAACAGCCCGAATCCTGTCAAGTTTTTCAATCTGGGTTGTCGGGCCCTGAATGAACTTGATGAACTAAAGTGGCCCTCTAGCTGTAATGTTTGGACACCTCTGCCTAAATAACCGTGGAAAGTTACATTTTGTATGTTCAAAGTTTGTGTGAAAGGCCGAGCGACTGACCTGTCCAGTATTCCCCGCGATGCCAGCGCCTGACTGGGCTCCAGCGGACGCCCGTTCACCGCAAACTCCATGATGCACCCCACAAAATCATGCGCCGCCACTTGCCCCCTCCGGTGCAGTATGGAGTCTACGGAGCGCACCCCTCCCACCGACAGCCGGTTGGGGCCCACGTCCAGGATCCTGCAACACACACACAAAATTGCTGGGTTGCAATCACTCCGCTCGTGTTCGTCAGACAGGGCAATGCAGAAAAACGGACACGCAGAAGCTTTTTGATGGCTTGGTATGACTGATTTGGGGTGAAAACTATTCTCGATGCGGCGTACGCTTTGTATAGTTTGAATGAGATTGATACTTTCAACAATGAGGAGGATTAAGCGGCTGTTATAGTGATGACAGTGGAGTCACTCTGGGATCAACAGATGAAAGTTTTTTTGATCAATAATAACGTAAATAGGGCACAAATAAGACTTTAATCAATATTTGAGACGAGAAATGTGACCCGTTATTGGGGTATGTAAGTAATGCTTTTCTTCCACTCATAAAAAATGGGGAGGCTGCATTTCAGATTAATGCAGCTAAAATCTGGAACAATCTTTCTGAAAATGTGAGACAGGCCATTTCTCTGACAATGTTTTAAACCAGGTCAAAAACAATTATGTTAAGCTGTGGGATTTTATATATATTATGATTATTTATGGTGTATGTTTTGTTTAGCATTTTGAGTTGCCTTGTCTATGAATTGTGCTATACAAATAAACTTGCCTTGCTTTTTTAGGTTTTTTCCAAAAAAATGACATCCATTTGAGAAAATGATTTTAGCAAAATAGAGACTTCATTAGTTTTCCACTTGATGCAAACAGTGGCTACAACACGCCACAGAAAACAAGCATTTAGATGGTTCTTAATGGAGAGATTTTACTTCCTGTCCCGCGGAAAGGAATTTTGTCTCCGCTGTAAGCCACACAACAGTCAGCCCCAATCTCCGCAGCGGTATTCACACACGGACACGCTTACATACGAGACGCCCGGGGTCACTGGCTTCTCGCTGCACCGTGGTCCCGGGACCCTTGCAAAATAAACGTCCAGACCTCCGCGGGGCCCTCCCTCATCTGCCAAAGCCATCTCCCCTTCTGGCTATCACATGCTCAGGTTTTCCTCCCATAAGAACGCAGTCTGGGATGGCTTCTCCGAGTGTAGGCTAATTAAATGAGCGTTTACATGATATAGATATTTACAACGGATGACTTCACTGCACTTCTGGGTCGTACAGACGTCGTCACGGGGAAGGCATGCGCACAATGTCTCAATTTAGGCCAATTAGCCGCGTATAGACACTTGTAGTAAAATGACTGAGAGTGCTGGAGCGAGTATGGACAGATGGTAGAAATGTTAAGTGCATTTAGCATATGGTGTGTTCAGAACATGGAACGGGTGGGTCTCCCTGCACCGAGGAAAAGATACCTACAATTTAGACCATTTAGAAGATAATTATAATGCATTATTTTTGGCCCTCAGACATGATCTTAAATATAATTACTTTTGAATATTTAGACAATCAAAGTAGACAGGATTGTAGAGTATTTAAAGATGGCTTTGCTAGAGCAAGGAAGCCAAATATGGAAGAGCACATGGGCAAAGTTTTCCCCAAGCTCCCTCTGGCTCTTATTGACTTACATTGAAAAGTAAACTCCTTTAGCTCAGTAATCGTGGGTCATACTTACCATTTTGGGCATTAAAAATCTATGGTGTAGTGCTCTCTATGGTCTTCATTATTATGTTTTGATAATAACCAATCAGGAGCCTTTTGTTGCCGAATATGGCTTTAACTAGCAAGTAGCGCGGGTGGGGACGGATCAACGTCGGTAACGTGCTGCTACCAACAACATTTATCTATATTTGCCTTCTCATTTCCGCTCAAATAGCCTGTTCGAGTTAGCTTTGACACAGAAGAGGCCAATGAGAGCCAACACGTTCGATACCTGGCTTCCCACAAACAAATTCTTATATTTTTGTTTGAATGTTACTTTTAATTATTTCTGTTATTGATTTCCAAATTGGGAGCTGAGTGTTGCTGGGGCCTCCCTTGAGGTTCACATTCCGCAAGACTAGAGCCGCAGGGAAAGAGCTCGGAGTATTGCCGCTGCTCCTCCACATGAAAAGGAGCCAGTTGAGGTGGCTCAGACAACTGTTTGGGATGCCTCCTTGACGTTTCTCTGGGTAGGTGTTCTGGACATGTCCAACTGGGAGGAGACCAGGGGAAGACCCAGGACAGCTGGCCTGGGAAGTCCACTATCACTTACTAAGTTTTCATCATTCTATTTTCCATGAAATTCTGGGAAAGTATCAATACATGTTCCTCAATGTACTGCTACAAGTTCAAATGCTTTTCTAATGGTAGTTATAGATTTGCAAATTGATTGAGTGTACGTATACTTGAACCAAGGGCAATTATGGCATTTTTATCTTATTATTTATTATTCTATACTCTATTATCTAGATCCTGTTGGGTGAATAACTTCAGTGCTCTAATTTTTTCTCCTGTTTTTCTTCTGTAATGTGTGCAATTAAGACATGGAATTTCCTATGACATCCTAAATTTCTTCAACTGTGGATAATTAAAGTATCTATCTATCTATTGAAATTTCCACTGAGGGAAAAATAAAGGTTTGTCATATCTTAAAGTTAGCGGGACTCGCACAGAGAACATCTTGCAGCTCTAATCTTGTATTTCCACAACAGTGAAAACAGGAGTAATGGGTTGTTATGGACAGTAGTTGCACACAGAGCTGACTTGTCATTTTCAACTGCTGTCACACAATAGTCTCCCACATAAAAGCAAAGTGTCTCATGGCCGTCAAATTTGCCCGACACACTTCAAAGCACAAAGCCACCATAATTTTGGAGCCCAGATGATATTTTCCCAGAGAAAATCAAACATAAAGAACTTACACTGGCTCACAGACTTTGGTGTCCGTATCAGATTTCTTGTATTTGACATAAGGGAGAAGAAAACTTTTATTTGCGATTGTAAACAGAGTATTGTGTTCTTACCAGTCTGTGTGCACTGCCACGTTGCTGACGGCGCAGTAACCGGGTTCCTGGTCATCGCCGCACAAGTCCACCGTGAGAGAAGCCGCCTGCAGAGACAATGTTAGAGATTTTAAACTTGTTTCAATATAATGCTAAAGTCGGAGATTGAATACTTGTTTCTTTATTATGCCAACGTTAGAGATTTTACACTTGCATACTTGAGAAAGAGTCCTGTGAGTCACTATTTGACTCTTTGGGATGAGAGTTAACTCATTGTGTCCCATTGACGCACAAATACGTCAAAGCAAATAGTAACGTCGTGTGCCATTGACGCATTAATCCGTCAATTGCCTTTTTTGCTATTTTCACGTTCCCAGATGTCTATTGTATCTAATATGTATGGGGATGACTTGAGACCATATTTTATCGAGCCAGCAGGTGGCAGCATTGCTCTCTGAATGGTTTGAAAACATGTAGGTGCACATGTTGTGCCTCTTTTTTCTCAACTTTCTGGTGATTTCTGGTGATTTCAGTAAAACTTCCCTCTACTCGACGGAGGATTACAGGGGAACGAAAAAAGCTATAAACAAAATTCTTTTTGCTGAGGAAAGTAGACAGTCCATTCTTTTAGAATCTGGTGTCGGATTTCAGATAGTCATAGTACACAATATTCTGTGGGTCTTGAAAAATCTGTAAAAATCATCAGAAATGGCTGGCACTGTGGGAGTACCTGTTCTGAAATAGGCTGGCATTCAATGAGTTTGGTTGAGTGAATGGTGGTCCTCTCTTTTTAACTTTTCTGTATGAAAAAGTTGATCCAAAGACTAAAAATACTCATGAATACTGTTTTGAATGTGAGTTACGTGAATGTTAAATTAGACTGGTTTGAAAGTTTCATACCCCAGCTTTAATGGGTCAAGTGTCCCATCAATGGAAGTCCAGATGCAGCTGCAAGGACAAGAATAATTCCAAGCAAGTTGAATGTGTAAAAAAGGTAAAATACTTGATTGATAAAGCCTCCCCCATTGGCCGTGTGATTGACAATGGGTAGACATGGGTAGACTACGGAGAGAAGATCAAATTCCTTATCCTGCCATCTCCAGGTTTGTTTTGGTTTCTATGCTTACCAAGCTATCCCAGCGCTCTTCCCAACACTGTGTGATTGTTCTGGGAGTGAAAGTTCCCCAAACTGTGGTGGGGCCAGTGCAGCTGCAGCGTGGCTGTGTTGTGGTGGAGGTGCGTCAGCAGTCTATCACTCAAAGCCTCTGGGACTCTCTTTGATTCGTGCTGTCACATGTGCCCTCTCCAACGCATTGGTTCATTGCTCATAAGACCAGAGTTAGCAGCTCTCCACTGCTGACTTGGATTAGGTGATTGCATTGGTGTTGCAAGTGAGGTTTTCTGCCACTGAAACTACAAGTTATTGCAATAAGTGGTGCTATTTCGGGCATCACACCTAGAAGATGGCTACCCTCTGACAAAAATGCAAAATGTTGTGCTACTGTACTACAGACTGGAACTCTTTACAGAAAACTGCTAAATCTTGTATCTATGGCACATTCTGACTAGCTAGGCTGGTTCCATCTTGTGTCCCTCTGTCATTTCATTTAACAAGCGATGCCCCAAAAAGTATAATCAGCCAATAAGCGCTCGCTTGCAATTCAACAAATCAGTAAACAAAGAAGTGGGGATAGATCCAAACCAAGCCATACATTCTAAGCGATTTACAGCCAGAACAAAGAGGAGGGATAGCCGTTATGACCCTGCTTCCTACATGCATTACAACCAAACAGCAAGGTTTGGTTGAAGTAAAAATGGTACTCGCCCACTGTGGAGCAAACCAATCAGAAAGAAATGAATCCAATTGATGCACAAAGCTACAATTTAAAATCCATCCATCTATAAGACAATGCAAAGCGATCACTGACCTTGTACAGCAGAGATATGTGTGTTATGTGAGGATTTGATTTTTAACAAACTCACAAAAATTCAAATAATTCACTTTATAGAGTCGAAACATCCAAAAGAAAACACTACAATCTTCCACGTTATAGTCTCCTTTTTACGATCCATAAATTTTCGCAATTAGCCAGACATCGTTGATAAGGCCTGAACAGTTAAGCCACCTGCTGTTGGCACGAACAAAAGGCTGCCTTCACCACAACTCTTTAATGGTAGTGTACTCGGATAATATCACAAAACTGAACTTCTCATAACTTTCCTCCCATAGTTTCGGTTTGAGAAACTTCAATGCAGCACACAGCTGTTAAGTCCGTCATGACTTCATTGACATGCCTTGCGTATACTTTAGATCAAAGCATCCACAAATTGGCATCCCGGGTAATTATTTTCATCTTTTGCTCTCGATAGGACGGACGTCGGAGTCAAAAATCCCATATACTTGAGTAAACATTTCCTATCTGCTTTTAATGGTGGTTAAGCGCTTGCCCAGATGTGAGCTTTCTCTCCGTGCCATAACGGTGACACTTCAGGCAGCAGAAAACGAATGGGCTGGTGAGGAAACTGTCCAGAAAATCTTGTGAACGCGCTGAAAAACCAGGGCAATGTCAGGCCACCTCTGCTGCGATGTTAAGTCAACACGAGAGCAGGCAGAGCCCAGGGACTCGGCTCTGAGTCCGGGCCGCCGGGCTGGAGCAGGACCCCCACTCATGGAGCCATTAGTCACACACACAGAGAAATCCAGGGCTGCATCCTCCCTGGGAGCGATTTTTCGGACAAACATTCCAATGAATAATTTGTTGATTTCATTCTGCGTGCATGTTGCAGGAGCATACTGTAAATGGCAACAAGACTGAAATATGAACTGAGAATAATACACAAGATGTCAATAGACTTTATATATGAACTAAGTCGGACTCCGAGGTGCACAGGGACTCCTGCTGGTGCCCAGAGTCATAACTAGAGAGATGCATGCGGTTAAAGTCTGGAACAATCTACCTGAAAATGTGAAACAGGCTTCTAGTCTGAGAATGTTCAGAATCCAGGTTAATCCAGTGGCTCAGTTGGTAGAGCATTGGCCTTTGAGCCAGACGGTCGTGGGTTCGAGCCCACCTCAAGACTTTCACCATCGACTCCCACTGATGTCTGCTGTTGTTTTGTCCTTGGCAAGACACTTAACCTCTGGGAACACCTGATGCCACAGTGGGGCGGCTGCGGCTGTAAAGTGCCAAACTGCTGTTGTGTCCTTAGGCAAGACACTTCACCCCCATTGCCTAGAAGGAGTCTGGTGTGTGTGTGAATGGCTGGTGGTGGTCGGAGGAGCCGATGGCACATACTGGTTGCCTCGCTTCTGTCAGTGTGCCCCAGGGCAGCTGTGGCTACAGTAGTAGTTTATCACCACCGTGTATGGAGTGAAAAAATAATGACATGTAAAGCGGCATTAAGTGTCCAAAAAAGCGCTATATAAAACCGATGTCTTATTATTATTATACAACCCAGTTCTGTTTTGCTGTGAATACAAGTGACAGATTTTATCTTTACTATTTTTAATGTACCATGATTTTTGTATGATTCTAATGCCTTCTATCTCAGTGTTAGGCACTTTGAGTTGCCATGTGAATAAACTGTGCTATACAAATAAACCTTACCTTGGAGAATATTTTAACTATAGCGCAATGCTGTATAGGTGTATGAATGTTAAATTTCTATTTTAACATTAGTTGATGTGACTCCATGTAATTGACTCCATATAAAAACATGTTAAAACATTTTTATGGAAAATAATCAGAAAGAAAGAAATATGTTTTATGTAAAAAATGATAATAAATAGAGCAAGAAAGAGGTGTTTTTTCCATATATCTGTGAGTTCAAAACAATTATAGCTAAACACAGTTGTCCCGATCGCACAAAACAGACACGGAGTTGGGATTTATTAAAATTCCACTTAAATGACTCCTATGTTTTCTCTCAATAAGACTGCAACCATGTCAGAAACACATGGACAACTTTCTAACCACTTTCCCCAAAATCAAAGTGAATGCACTCAACTGTCAAATATAATAGAATAGATCTGAAAATGTGTTTTGGAAGAAAACAAAAAACAGAATGTGTCACTAAAGACAAGCGAAAATGCAAAGCGAAGAGTGAAGACAGCAGCTCTGAGCGTTGTCGTGTCTCTGGTCCAAATAACAGATTCTCAGCTCAGCTCCATTCTGTGAAATACTAAATACTTCCTTACTCGTGTAATTACTCAACTTCTTGGTCTTCAAAACTGTGTGACTTTTTGCGTTGCTAGATGTGGTTTATGAACATGTTTTATGAAATTTGTGTTCAGATTAAGATGAAAAAGCGAAAACAAATGTTCAATTCAAGCATTTATAACCTCATATTTTATAATCAGATATGAGAGATACTGTAAATGTAAAGCTGGAATGACACTTTTGAATCATTATTTCTGTCAGAAAAAAATGAAAGAACTAATTTTAGCCATTTCCCCCCTAAATCCTTCTAACTTTAAAACAGTGATGGGTGGATGAACCAGTACGTCCCATACTACTGCCCCCTACAGGGAGGGCTTCAAAGTGCGGCCACAGGTCAAGCGTACAAATATGTGGTTAGAAACACATTTTTACCATATCATGATTTTTATCTATGTATTTGGTTTGATTGTTCTCTGCTCCAGACTTTGAGAAGTAATTTTTTTTCTTTAGACTCTGCCTTCCGTGTGTAATAATAGTTTCTAAATCTATCGACAATGAGAAAGAAAATCAGTTGAGTTTGCTCCAATGGAAAAATGAAGTAGTTCTTTCACCAGAAGGGACTTTGTCGGATCAACAGCTTTAACAGAAATGACTAGAATTACAGAGAAACTGCACTAAGTGTTCCTGCTGATTACCTCCTGATGAAGACTGCAGCCATCGTCTGAACTCACAGATTCATCCACAAGGACTTTGGACTTTTTTACACAATTCACATTGGCGGTTTCATTTTCATGTCATTTAAATCATATTTTACAAATTCCTACAGTCCTCCGAGACGACTGCTGTTGTGATTCAGGACTAAACAAAAATACATTTTATGATATAGATGATAGAGATGGAGCAAATTTACAGAGTTTCATATTTTCAGGTTGAAACAATGAAAATGGAAGAAAAAACATATTTCTGTGTTAATGAGTTTGTTCAGTTATTTTATCTTTATGGAACAAATGCAATCACTCGGGCTGTAATTAACAACTTTTATAATACTCAATGTCTTATCTTTACTTATTAGATACTTTCGATTAATCGATTAGTTGCTGGGATCTTGAAGCAGTTGATTTGGGATTTGTTCTAAGTTTGACCAAAACAATGTTTGGGTGATGCTTACGGAAAACCTCTTCATAGAGACGACTTGCTACACTTTTGATTCCATTTCCTGTCATTACAGAATGATCTGAGTCATACAACCGTTTCTCAGTGTTTTTAGATCTATGGAAGGTTCAAACAACTATTCATTGAATATCAAATTATTTGTCAACTATATAAATAATCGATTAATTGTAATTAATTTGTTACAGCTCTAAAAATCACCAACGACAAAATGCAGGCTTTAACAAAACTTCACAGACTTGTGCTGTGATCCTCTCCTCCTCGTCACTCTTCACCAACTCTAAACTGACAAAATAACGATTTTGCCAGCTTTCTTGACTCTCCCAGTGCATGCTGGGAAAGCAACTGCGTACGCTATAGAGGCTCTGATTAAACTCGGCTGAAGTCTCCTCCCCTTTCCACTGGCAGCAAGAAGCACCACGTCCAGAGACACAACTTCAGCCTGTAGAGCCATTTTGGATCCTCAGACAGTAAATCAAAATGTGCAGTAAAATATAATTACAAACCTGGAAACTGTACGCTGGGCGCCCCGTGGTGAGGGAGAGCTTAATTGTCCTCTGATGGTGCAAAATAGAATGCGGCAAGAGCCATAAAAGCATGACCACGATTGTCCACAGCTCAGTGTGATAGTTTTCTCACATTTTCCTGATGCGAGAAAGAGACTGTTTCTGAATATAGAATCCTTTAGCAAGACTGATTGTAGGGGCGACAGTGGCTCAGCTGGTAGAGCATAGGCCTTTAGGGCGTGGGTGTTCGAGCCCACCTCAAGACCTACTTCACGATTAACACAAGAACTCCAAGAGCAGTCATTTTGAAGTTATACCCTTCTTCCCCTTTGTCCATTTCTGGGTCGGGGGGTGGCAGTCAAAGCTGCACCCAGTACATATAGCAACAGCCCCTCACTGATCCTCCTGCAGTTGGTGAGTCCACAGGAGGATGGCTGCTCTGTCTGTGAGGGCTTCAGGCAAAGTGGGGTTAAGTGTCTTGCCCAAGGATACAATGACAGCAGACATCATTGGGAGTAGGTGGAGAAGGTCTTGCGGTGGTCTCCTTCAGGCTTCAGGTAAGTAATTTATACGATTTTTACCTTTACTCACTTTTAATACACGCTAAAAGTAGTTCATGGAAACAGATACAGAAAAATACGAAACATGTACAGGAGCAGAGTAATCACGCCTCCAAAACTAAAAGCCGCCAATTTGACCGTTATTTGCTCTAACCTATGATACATTTTTACTAAGAAAAAAGCAGACTGTATTCAGACTCACCATCCCTGCTCTCCTGGCGATGACCGTGTGGAAATGGCCGTCTGAAACTTTTATCATGGTCATCAGTTTGTAAGTTCCACTCCCCAAGTTGAACGAGAAGCGCATCCTCGATTCGAAGATCTCCAGAGCCAGAAACTCGGCCTTATCTCCCGTCTGGTTGTCGTGATTGTACATGAGCAGTGCGTTGTTGCTCAGAGTGGCAAACTTGATATAAATGTAGTTATTGTTGGGATCCAAAGACGGGAACTCCATGTAAGACAGCTCCTCAAAGCCATAGCTGTTGAGCTCACAGTGTTTGCCAAAGACGCCTGCGAAACAGAAACGAAAACACACAAAAGAACCGTGTTACAACCACAACCATAAAATTGCCGTTTTACAGTGGAAATACATGACAACACTACAACTGTGAATAATCAATAAAAATGTGTCTATTTCTCTTTTAACATGAGGACAAAAAATATTTTGGTGATCTATAAAGTGTTTTACCTTTGCTCACTTTTGATGTGTTGAAGTGCTAAAACTGGTGAATGTAACCTAAAATAGAGCTACCGAATGCTAACTAATGACAGGAAACAGTGTGTCGCCATGGTAACTAGCGCTTGCCCTTCTCTGCTAGAACATAACTTATCTGGGAGTTACTTTTATAAATCCTCAAAAACAATTCACAATATTTATTGAGAATTTTTATACAGTACATAGAAAAACTGAAAAAGTGGTGTTCCAGATTAAAAGAGGGATTCCAGATTAAAAGAGGGATTCCAGATTAAAAGAGGGATTCCAGACTGGACACTTGTGGGTTAAGGTCAACAAAATTTGGTGCCCAGTCGCTGTACTCATGTCTACTACGACCACTGCATTGTAAAAGTATATTGCATTGATCGGTTTGGTCAGGTCTGGAGCTGGGGGATTTTTACCTATTATTTTTACTAGTAGGGGAAACTGGACACATGGGAAGAACATGCAAACTCCACTCAGAAAGCCCCTGTTCCAACTGGTATTTGAACCCAGGACCTTCTTCCTGAGTGGCAATTGTGCGGTCCAAAAATAAAGGTGTATTTAAACTTTGCAACTCACTATTGGATGACTCTCTTTAAACACAATTTTTACAAAAAGCATGAGAAATGAAGACATAAAATGGAATTCCACAACGCACATTCACAGAAGAAATCCTGAGCTAATAATGAAATAACTTAACGTCTGGCTTTGTCCACCTTGATTTTCAATTTAACCATTTTCCTACCATTACTCACCAAACGGGCAATGACAGTAATATCCATCCACGCGGTTCTGACAGGAGCCGCCGTTAAAACAAGGGTTACATTCACAGTGATTGATGATGGAGTCACACACTTTGCCTGGATGACAAAAAGGCAAATAAAAATGAATGAGGTGGCAGACAACACAGAAAACTCCCGAGGGAAACCCAATTAAGTTTTCCCACAGGCTTTTTCATCACCACACAAATGTAAAATGCAGAAAATACCATCCAAGAAAAGGCCCTTGACTTGTAGTGACCAGTTAACAAGCCTAACGAATGGAAAGATGTAATTTATTGTGATGTGTACGCAGACAATAATCATGCTTTTGTTCAATTATTATATTTTCTTATTAAAACTTCTGTCCAAGATGACCTCATTTGAGTCAAAACAACATCTTGAAAGTTTCTTTGGGAAATGGAATGATCTCACTTTACTGGCAGGGCGTTCAGAATAATCAGTATAGGGCCATTTTCTGGAGTGCAGAAAGACAAACAATTGCAATGTACATAGGCAAATACGGAAATGATCATGCAAAACCCGCTGACACTAATGATATGAAAACCAAACAATAGCCTTTTTACAGACAGTTCAACAGTGTGGCCTTGTCAATGAAGTGCCTGAGATGATTGTAAATCCTGAGACAAGTTTCTTAATGGAGATAGATTTGACTGCCAAAAACAGGAAGTGGGGAGTTCACGGTGAGGGCATGCAAACTACTGTAAGTCAATAGGTGCATTTCTTCATGAGTATCAATTATTCTTGATGGAACCAGAAGTTTTGTAGTAATTTCCAACATTAATAATAAAAAGGGACACAAATGACTTGGAGCAAATTGCGCCTTTTCTGGCCCGGTTTGAAAATTCCTTTCAGATGCTGAGGTTAATGGCTGGACAGCATGCTAAGTTCCTATTACCCTCTTAAAGTAATTTAACTAAATATATACTTATCAGGAAATGTAATTACTTTTTTAACTAATACGCTTGATTTGATCTTCTATAAAGATTCCCATTTGTCATCTCACAAAGCACATAAGCTGCTCTTGATTAGAGATAGTGAATACATTAGGACTGAGTCTGTGTGCGGCCATAGAGAGCCTGCCTTTGAAGCAGCTCAGTGAAACATGATAGGGCAAGTGTGGAGAGTACACTAAAGTGCTGAAAAGAGGCAGCTTCACATCATCATTTTTATGAAAGAAACTATGGCAGTCTAATATGCATCACAGCTTTACCCCCCAACTAGTAATCCACAAACTAAACTCCTTCTGGCATTCCTATGTGTGAGTAATGTCTTCAACTCCTCTTGGAACCATTAGGAAGCAAATATTTTCCTTTGCTATGATTGACTTTATAACTGCGTGAATGTGGAGTTATGAATGTCCCCAAGTGCTTGCCTATTAATCTGCTCATGAGTGACTGTGTGGTCAGACATAAAATGTGACTGTTCAATGTGTAGTACCTGCAAATCCGGATTTGCAGAGGCAGTTGAAACCGCCTGGGAAATTCTGGCACAGAGCCCCATTCTTGCATGGATTGGAAAGGCATTCGTTGATATCTCTCTCGCAGGCCATGCCGGTGAAGCCCTCTGGACAGGTGCAGGAGAAACCACCCACCAGATTGTGGCAGGTTCCCCCGTTGTGGCAGGGTGAAGGCTGGCACTCATCGATGTCTGTTTCACACAGGGCTCCAGTGTAGCCCGGCCTACAGCTGCAGGCGTAAGGCTGCAGGGGGTGGTTGGAAACAAGAATCACTGGGACACTTTCTTCAGTCTTCATGTCAGGCCCGACACTCAGACGCCGTTTGCAGCTGCCCCCGTTCTGGCATGGGTTACGCGTGCAAGGATCATGGTCCACCGCATCTATTCTCACCCCGCTCTGTCTGTATAAAATGTCTTTGATACTCTGGAAGAATGTAGCCACGCCACTTGGGTTCACATATTGTCCATGGCCCCTTTTCACAGCTGCCATCAAGAAAGTTTGATTATTGAGCTCAAATGCCCCATACAGCAGCACCCCAGTGCCCATTCCTGCCAGCTGAGAGTTGGAAATGCGTAAGAAGCTGAGGTAGTGGTTAGTGAGGAAGCTTTTGACTCCTTCAGACTGGAGTCGGATCAGAATGCTATTGTCAATTGTGGCATTGGTAAAACCTATGAATAGAACTCTAGCCGTATTGCTCACAAAACCATGCACGCCATCACTGCTGCGGACGGTCAACTCAAATGTGCCATCGGTTGACCGGGATTTAGAATTGAGGTTGCATGTACCAGTTGGGATGCTAAATAGACCAGATGAAGGAGGAATCAGAGAACAATGGAATCTATCATGACTATCTGGATCCTGAGGTCTGACATCTCCCAAAGTCCCACCCGGAAACAAGTTGCCATAGTAATGCACAAATACCTCCATGGATCTGGGCTCTGAAGGGTTGTCATTCTGATCATTCACTTTGACATGAATGGTTCCTGTTGAGGACATTTGAGGTAAACCAGAGTCTTTGATGACGACAGAGAGGTAGAAGTCACTTATTTGCTCCCTATCTATCTCCCGACTGGTGGTGAGTACTCCAGATGAGCTCAGACTGAAATAGTTGTTGGCAGTACCCAAACCAACCAAGCTGAACAAGAATGGGCCTTGGTTGGGCGGCAGATCTGCATCGGAGGCCGAGAGTGTGCTAACTGCTGTACCAGCCCGTTGATTCTCCATGACCTCTGCGTAAACGGTCGACAAAGTGGGGCCGTTATCATTGATGTCTTCCAGATTTACAATAACAGTAGCACTACCAGTGGCGGGAGGCGTGCCAGTATCCACAGCTAGAATGGTCAGATTATAAACTGGTGTTTTCTCTCTGTCTAGTTCAGCAGCTACAGACACCTGCCCTGTTTTGGGGTTGATAATGAAAATATTTTTGTCGAAGTCTGGAGCAATTGAGTAGGAAAATCTGCTCCAGCTTGGAACAGAATCAGAATCTTCAGCGCTGACAAAAGTTACTAGGCCACCAGGTGCCAGACCCTCGCTAACCTGCACATCATACAGCTCTTGAGTAAATACAGGTGGGTCATTGGCATCCAAAATCGTAATATTCACAAAGACTTCATCAATATCTGCACCACGTATGCTTCCAGCGTTTTTAGCTAACACTTTCAATGAAACCTTCTCCTCTTTCTCACGGTCTAAAGTACCTGTGACATAAATCTGACCTGTCTTCTTATTAATACTGAAACCCTTCTTTCTACTCTTCCCAAATATGAGGTAGTACACCATGCCGTCGTCTCCCTGGTCTCTATCACTGGCAAACACTTCTCCCACCACTGTCCCTTTTGGAGCAGCTTCAGAGATTTCAAAGTAGTACTGTTTGGAAACAAAGCGGGGAACATATTCATTGGCTCCCTTCAGCTGAATGTTGACGTTGGCAAAACTGCAGCGCTCCTCGTCTGGGACATTGAAGGCCTTTACTGTGAGATGATAGACCTGCTTGGCCTCATAATCTAAGAACCCCTGGGTGGTGATGGTGCCCGTGTTGGGGTCGATAACAAAGAGGTCACTGTCTGAAGACTGGATCACATAGGCCATCACAGCATTGGCACCAGAATCTCGATCTGTTGCATTTAATTTCACAACAGTAGTGCCGCTAGGGACATTTTCTTGAACGATAGGAAAATACTCATCCGGGCTGAACACTGGTGGATTGTCGTTTACATCTGTCACATGTACAGTGACGGTCACAAAGCTTGTTTTGGCAATCCAGCCACCATCTGTTGCTGAAACTCTCAGATCATGTTGTTGTTTCTCCTCATAGTCCAAAGGTTTTGCTAATGTTAAGCTGCCAGTTTTGGTATTTAGTGCAAATAGTCCATGTGCATTACCAGATGTAATGTTATAAGTTATAAGTCCATTTGTGTCTTTATCTTTGTCTCTTGCCAGTAATGTTCGTACAACCGACCCAACAGCGAGGCTTTCAGGTACATTGGCTGAAATTTGGCTTTGGGAGAACTCCGGAGTGTGATGGTTTTCGTCAGTTACAGCTATGCGTACTTTCGTTTTTGTTGACAAAGGAGGATTCCCCTTATCACTAGCTGTAATGTCAAAGATGAATACTTTATTGCTATCAGATGTGAGGGAGGAGGCTACTGTGATCCAGCCACTTAGTTTATCAAGTTTGAACTTACTTGAGCTATTCCCACCTGTTATGACATACTCTATCTCAGAATTTAGCCCAAAGTCTTTTTCGTCCTGCGCTGTCACACCTATCAACCTTGTACCAACTTTAACACTTCTGGTCACAGGGGTGAAGTAGTTAACTGAATCAAACTCAGGTGGATTATCATTGCTGTCCACAATATTGACTATAACTGTTGTTTCGCTCATCAGAGGTTTGACTCCCCGATCCGAAGCGGTAACAATGAAACTATGACGATTTACGTTGATACTCGATGCCACGGAAGAGTTTTGGTATTTTAGTTGTTGCTTTACAAATATTGCACCTGTACTAGAATTAATTCGGAAAAACTCTGATTGAGATCTAATAAAGTAAAATATTTTCCCATTGAAGCCTTCATCTGGATCTACGGCAGACACTTGTGTGACCAGAGAACCAACTTCTGTGAGCTCAGGGTAATCAAGATAGTAAGAGGGTCGGCTAAATCTTGGGGCATTATCGTTAATATCTGTTATGAATATTGTGACATCGGTACTAACGGTCCAGCCAGAGTCGTGCGCTGCTACTTTGACAATATAATGGTCGGTATCTTCTCTATTCAACGGCCTGCTTATAGTTATATCTCCTGAGCTTGGGTTGATAACAAAAGGCAGGCTAGTGTCTGTTATGGAATATCTACTGATGGCATTAGATCCAGCGTCTTCATCTGTTGTGGTGACTCTTGTGACGGTATAACCAACTGGTGCATTTTCAGCCACGGTGGCACTAAAGATCTTGGAAAACCTTGGCGCATTATCATTCACATCCAAAACATTGACAATCACTCGAACTGAATTGCTTTTTGGTGGTAATCCGCGGTCAGTTGCTCTCACTTTCAAATTGTACTTTGCTACTTTTTCTCGGTCAAGTGGCCTGGTAGTTCGGACCTCACCAGTCGCCCTGTTAATGCTAAAGCTATTGTCCTTGTTGCCGTCAATTAAAGCATATTCCAGCTGTCCGTTAGATCCATTGTCCAGATCAATACCGTTGACTACAAGCACTCGCTGTGGGGAAAGATTCTCCAAAATGTCTGCATGGAAAGGGTCCTTTTCAAAAACTGGATGATTATCATTGACGTCCAAAACAGTTACTTCCAGTTTCTCATACGAGGAATAAGGAGGGAAACCTTGATCTCTAGCTTCAACCCATAAAACATATTTCTGGATATGCTCGAAATCCAATTGATGTCTGATTGATAGTTCTCCTGACAGCTGGTCTATGTGGAATGCGTAGTCCAAGTTTCCGCTCGCAATGTAGTACGACAGGGGTCCTCCTCTCCGAGACGAACCAGACACAGTCGTGACTATGTGGTTGGTGGGCTGGCTTTCTGGGAATGTAAAGGCACGTTCCCTTAGCTTAATAACGGGAAAGTTCCCACCAGTGACAAAGCGAACAGTGACTGTCGTGGAGTCGGTTTTGGGGCTGACACCTCCATCTTTGACCCTGACCGTCAGTGTGACCTCAGAGGTCCCGGTCAGCCTCTCGTTGGCAGTTATAGCACCTCGCACAGGGTCAATCTTGAATTTGTCCGAGTTGCGCCCCGTCAGGGAGTAGTGGAGCTGGGCGTTAGAGCCAGAGTCTTCATCTGTGACAGTGACGGCGAATACCAAAGAACCTAGAGAAAGAAAAGACAAATTAGAAAGACTTAAACTTTACTTCCATTACAGAACCAAAAAATCAATCCATCATTCAAAGTGACTGATTACTTTTTCTTCTTCGTTTCCTTTCTGTTTCTAATGGAAAGCTAGGTTTTCAATATTTTTATTCAAAATATAGCTCTCTAAGTAATTCCACAGAAATTATGTATCGAAGCAGAAATAAGCTATATGACAAAATACTTCAGCTTTATCGAGATGTAATTGTACCATTTTTATACTGATTGCATACTTGTATAAGTTAATCTAAAGGTTGAGATTCCACTTAAGTTTTTGTTGGTCATATTGTCTGTCAGTCTGAAAATTCTACAAATGTGAATTGTTGTGTGTCAAAGCTGTACTTTTATATTTTTACTTAAGTATAAATGTCCTCCTTATACTTCATCATTCAATTCAATGAAATGCATGTTTACACTAGTATATTCCTTGACTGACCTGCGGCGGTGGAGGCAGGGATGTGGGTGACGTAGGGGTGGTGGTGGAAGCGTGGAGGATTGTCGTTGATATCGTTGACGGTGACAGAGACGGTGGCGGAGCTGGAGAGAGCGTCCGGCTGCCCTCCATCTGTGGCCACCACCAGCAGCTGATAGGTGGCCCTCTCCTCCCGGTCCAACAGGGAGCTGGTGATGATCTGCCCTGTCGCCGGGTTGATGGAGAACTGGCCGTGTCCTCCGCTGAGGCTGTAGCTGCGGGAGAAACAAGAGCAATACTCAGGCCAAGTACTGACAAATTTCAACTTAATTCAATTACATTTATTTTTGTACAGCCCTAAATCAAAACAGCAGTTATCTCGAAGACCTGTACAATGTTGTTGATTTGCCAACACACATGTGGGAAATGAACCCACACTCTAAAGGGGCGTTCACACCGGACTTAACTTCGGCGTCAAAAGCGTCAGGTTTGCATTGAAAGTGAATGGTGAAGCGCGTCAGGTGAAGCCGAGAGCCCCGGCGTCACTTGACGCGCGTCAAAAGCTTCAAGAGTCGCGCGTACTACGCGCTCACTTGAAGCTTTTGACGCGCGAAACGCTCGCGTATCACAACAATCCCTTTGACGCCGAAGTTGAGCAAAGCTGAGCTTTTGAAGCTTTGACGCGGGCTTCAACCAATCAGGAGACGAGGAGCAGCAGCAGCAGAGGGTCTGTCTCTGTCATGAAGAGAAGTCATGTATCTGCTGCTGCTGTTTTATTGTCATTATTGTTATTAGTAATATTATTTGTATGAGTAGTAACATTCTGAGTAACAAAAATCATTGTACACATGCTGTGTAGTAAACATAGTTTATTTAAAATAAGAACAGGCTGACGATGAGTCTGGCTCAGAGCAAGGCAGCTCCGGGCGAGCGAGAGCCGGGGAGAGGCAGTGAGAGGCGAGCGAGAGCCGGGGAGAGGCAGGGAGAGGCGAGCGAGAGCCGGGGAGAGGCGAGCGAGAGCCGGGGAGAGGCGAGCGAGAGCCGGGGAGAGGCAGGGAGAGGCGAGAGCGAGGCGGGGAGAGGCGAGCTCCGGGGTTTGAGAACTCAGACTGGGCGAGTGACATGCGGAAGTACCGCTGAAAGCGAAACTCCTCCGTACGCAGCTCCTGGAGTAAATGACGGAACTCTGCAAACACTGCAGCCTCTCAAGTCTGTGGTGAACCCAGAACATGTTTTGTTGAAGCCCTACAACAACGTTATTTTGCTTTATATAACAAATAAAGGCTCGCTGCTCATTGAAAAATCCACCGCTGTTCTGACTACAGACAACAGAGAAGCTCCTCCCACCGGCGTCAGGCGCGTCACTCGCGTCAAAAGCTTCAAGCACCAAAAGGACAAAACTATCCCGGCGTCAGTTGAAGCGCGTCAAAAGCTTTTTGAAGCTTTTGGTCTGAACGCGCCTTTAAGGGGCGTTCACACCGGACTTAACTTCGGCGTCAAAAGCGTCAGGTTTGCATTGAAAGTGAATGGTGAAGCGCGTCAGGTGAAGCCGAGAGCCCCGGCGTCACTTGACGCGCGTCAAAAGCTTCAAGAGTCGCGCGTACTACGCGCTCACTTGAAGCTTTTGACGCGCGAAACGCTCGCGTATCAAAACAAACCCTTTGACGCCGAAGCTGAGCAAAGCTGAGCTTTTGAAGCTTTGACGCGGGCTTCAACCAATCAGGAGACGAGGAGCAGCAGCAGCAGAGGGTCTGTCTCTGTCATGGAGAGAAGTCATGTATCTGCTGCTGCTGTTTTATTGTCATTATTGTTATTAGTAATATTATTTGTATGAGTAGTAACATTCTGAGTAACAAAAATCATTGTATACATGCTGTGTAGTAAACGTAGTTTATTTAAAATAAGAACAGGCTGACGATGAGTCTGGCTCAGAGCAAGGCAGCTCCGGGCGAGCGAGAGCCGGGGAGAGGCGAGCGAGAGCCGGGGAGAGGCAGGGAGAGCCGGGGAGAGCGAGGCGGGGAGAGGCGAGCGAGAGGCAGGGAGAGGCAGGGAGAGGCAGGGCGAGCCGGGGAGAGGCGAGCTCCGGGGTTTGAGAACTCAGACTGGGCGAGTGACATGCGGAAGTACCGCTGAAAGCGAAACTCCTCCGTACGCAGCTCCTGGAGTAAATGACGGAACTCTGCAAACACTGCAGCCTCTCAAGTCTGTGGTGAACCCAGAACATGTTTTGTTGAAGCCCTACAACAACGTTATTTTGCTTTATATAACAAATAAAGGCTCGCTGCTCATTGAAAAATCCACCGCTGTCCTGACTACAGGCAACAGAGAAGCTCCTCCCACCGGCGTCAGGCGCGTCACTCGCGTCAAAAGCTTCAAGCACCAAAATGACAAAACTATCCCAGCGTCAGTTGAAGCGCGTCAAAAGCTTTTTGAAGCTTTTGGTCTGAACGCGCCTTAATACAGTTGGTGAGATATGGAATAAAAACTGTTTTTTGTTGTTTTTGTTATTCATTGTGTTTAGTTTGTATTCTTTTCAAATGCCTGTTTGTTGGCTTGAATTCATGATCACAGAATTAGGCTGGAGGCGTAGAGTCATTATGTCAACAGGTTTGAACCGGCCATCTTCTGGTTACAATAAAGCCCCAACGTTTACACAAATTTGTTTGTCAGTGCAAACACTGCAAAAAGTGACAAAAAAAAGTCAAACATTGCTTGGCATAAAGATGGGGTACCCTTTAAACTAGTTCCTCGCTCTTGAAACAGTTTTCACATGCATGTATACTTTAAAGCTAGGGTAATTCATTTTCAAACTAAAAAAAAACAAAAAACTAATTACAGCCATCTTTCCAATGTCTGCCGCAGCGTTTTTACGACTCAGCCAATCATCTCCCTGCCCATGGGCTCTTTCTCAAAACATGGATAATGATTTTGAAAAAAATTGTTGATAAGACTAGCAGATAAGAGTGAAGTATCCTAACTTTAAATCGCTGAACGGTAATTCTGACTAGAACCAGGGCGCGTGATTAGATTGTGCAGCGATGTAACAACAAACGAGAGGAGGTTGTGATTAGACTTTTCTGTTTTGTACACTATCAAATCTGGCCCCTGTTTCTACTTCCTCCCAGAACCCCCCTGTGTGCTGCAGACAGCCTTGGAAGTCCTCAAGTGAACTGATTCAAGGTAATCCCTTTCATCGTAGGGACAGAAACAACACAAGAAGTCATTAACATTCAAAACAAACACATTTATGATATTATTTTGGTGTCGGGAATTCTCTGTGGAATATATAGGCCCACACAGCTTGGACTTCAAACAAAGATCTAGTTTCTCCCAGTATCTCCCAGGGCCCAGAGACAAATGTAAACTGACACATACATGCACACACCAGTGCATATTTTCAAAAGACTTATTCCAAAGCATCCAGCTCTAGACATGCGATGACAAATTACAGGACAACGTGTGAATACAGGAGTGGATGCATAGCTTGTTTACATATCAGACCAAAACAAAAACTAGCCACGGGAGCTTGTGGTCTGAACACTGTCCAGTAACAAGTCTGGCCCGGGACGTCCTGTTAATAGGCTGTGAGAATCAAAACTTACAAATGACTGGGCTGGTTCTGGGGTCTCCATTAAGACCTAGACCCCTTGTAAACCCGGATGACCACCACCAGCACTGTCATAGGCAATTACCGTCCTCATTATTATGTTTCGGGAAACTGGAGCGCATTGTGGTACCCCCCGTTGGGACCAGGAGCGGGACGAAACGCAGCGTGCAACTCACAGCACATGAGCCAAAGTCCCCCCCCCCACGAAGGATTTACAGGCTGGGTAGAGGAAAATGCTGCCGTCCAGGTTGAGTCCAGACAATGACTCAAGATTCCGACTGAATTATGGGAAGAGTTCTACGTTGGTGACATGAGCAGGGATGGCGAGGTGTACCGCCAGAAAGCGAGTTCATTTTAACGGCAATTACTGAATGTAAGTAGGATTTTAAGTAGTAAGTGAGTCATTGTTATTCATATAGTGCTTTACAATTGTTGTGGGCATTTGTCGCTCACTCCACACAGAGATGGGAGTGGCGTCCAGACCGGAGCACGTGATGGAAACCTACGCCGACAAAAGGAGAACATGCAAAGTCCACACAGAAAGGTCTGGAGGTATAATGGACCTCCAGACCTTCTTGCTGTGAACCACTGTCTCACCCGTAAAGTCATTTATGTTGTGCTTTTTCACACTGGTAGAAGTTTGAGAGGACTTTACAGAGATGTCGATTCCTCAACAACAAATCAGAGAATCAAACCGTTTTAACCTAGGAAATATACAAATAGCAAACACAAAGGAGCCATTGGTCCATAAGGAAAGAGATGACAATTGTCCAGAAATGTTCTTTTATGTCCCGGATCATCACTGTATTAGACTGTCCTGCATCGGCAAGGAACGACTCAAAAACCATAAAAAGTGGGAAAATGATTTGTTTTTTTAACCTTCACATACACTTAAACATTCTGAGAAGATGTTGTATGGCTAAGAAAGTTCTGCAGAATTAAATGGTAACGTATTTACCAATTTGTAATCAAACAACCCAATGTGAAACAAGTCATCTCTAGCAATATGTTCTCCAGTGCTTGAGCTTTGCTTTGGTCAAATGTGAAAAAAATCCCACATTCACTGAGCTTTAGGATCTAAACAGCTAATTGGCTAATTAAAGCATAACCAGCCAGCTCATTGGTTATCAAATCATTCGTAATTACAGCCCTAGTGCCCATATCAAAGGTCTCCAATCTATAACTCGCCACCGCCTTCCAAGTTGCTTCCAAATCCCACTTATGCTGAATAATTCATTTTATGACTCACAATTTTACAACTGCTGTAAATTAGCACCAACGAATTCGGATAAATAGTCGTATGGGTGTATAACTGTATCTCAAATAAGTCTACACAAACAGAAAAATGCCAAAACCATAATTAAGCATTTGCTTGAATTTGCCCATATTTTTCTTGTGTGTAATAATCTTGCAGCTGCTGAGATGGTGAGAATGATTTCCCTTATAGTGACATCACAGAGAATCACACAAGACTTCCCATAAAAGAGTGGCCTGGACTGAACCGTGCAGAGATTTTCAGTGATTCATGAATGATGTGTGACTGAATGAACCTTGACAATTTGCTAAAGATTGAACAAATGAAAAAGACGAGAGCTTTTTTTTTTTTCAGAGTAAACCAGGACACGTCCAGTTGACATGACTAGTTTATCTGATCATAACAATTTGGAATGCATTCTGGGAGAAAGCTGCCATCCGGATGGATTCAATTTACATGCAGTACATTTTCCCAGGAAACACTAATGGATTCGCTACATTCTGCTGTAAACAAGGATACCACTGGAACAGCACCATGATATGTTATATTTTCAAATTATATATATCTAGATTGATGGATATGTCAATTTTAAAAAGTCTTATCTTGCAAAGTTTCTATCTGCATCTTGCACCACTGGTACTGAATGTACCTCAGAACCTCAACTTTATTTGTATCGTCTTTGTCTTGGATACTTTCTGTAGACTTTTATTATTATTCGGTAGGCTTTGGTTCAATGTTTTGCCAGTACAGTTCAACACTTTGAGGACAAAATATGATTTCCCCGATGTTGATCAATCTGGCTGTTCGATATAATTCATTTTTCACATTGAGAAGAGAGCAAAACAACATATGCCACATAAATTGTGTTTGCATTGATGAATAAAAATAAAGCATTATGGTTACGGGTTGTGGGGCAGCGGTCTGGGACTGACATGAAGACAGTGGAACATGAGACTTTCTTTTTTTTATTTTTTTTTTATGTTTGTTGATAGTCAAACTACATTTAAAGGCAACATTTTAAAACTCAGTGGAAAGCACTTGGGGGGGAAAGAGATGCTATTTTAACGCATATTCTTTAAAAAATTAACATTGATGAGAGGCAAAAAATCGGATCGGCCGAGCCACATGTAACTCAAAAATATAACCTTTGAAATATCTATGAGAGCTTAAACACGTACATTTATTTCACCAACATAACTCAAACAGCCAGAATGATCAACATATGGTTTAGTGTGACTCTTAGAGGATGGTACCTGGTACCCACTTATATATGGTGTTCCAAAGTTCTTGGTCTACTTTGTTGTAGACCAAGAACTCTTATTGTAAAGCACTTTGGTCGCCTTGTGTCTTGTAAAGGGCTCTATAAATACAATTTGATTGATTTACTGATTGATTCTTTGTCCTGGCTCCTCCTCATGCTTCCTCTTCATGCTTCCTCCCAGTCACACTTGCACAATTCTGTAAGTCTCACCTGATGACTCCGTTGAGGCCGGTGTCGGAGTCGGAGGTGTTGAGCAGGAGCACGTCGCTGCCGGTCGGGGCGTCCTCGGCGATGGTGGTGTGGAACGCAGACGAGGTGAACAATGGAACGTTGTCATTCACGTCTTCCACCATCACCACCACAGTGCCAGTGCCGCTCAGAGAGGGGGAACCTGCAGGGACAAGGAACCAACGTGAGGGTCTGAAGCATAGACTGTAAATATTAACGGATGTAGTCACGCCAATCTCCGCCAATGAAACCAATGTGCCACCCCTTTTGCTGTTTACAGTTTCAAAATGGCCCCGGTGCAGAAATTCTTTTAAAGAATGCATTTGCGCATGCGTTAGCCGTTGCAAGCCTCATTCATTTAAGTCCTGTCTGAAGTCCACAGACGCTAAACTAGAGTAGTCCAAAAAATATATTCCCCTCAGCATTGACACACATCGTCACACAAGAGCTGACTTTTGAACCATCTTGTAAAGACGTTTTTGAGAGGTAAGACGCCTTACAAAACCATTGAATAATTCTCTTTCTGCATCCACACCACTGACTAGCAGTGGTATTGCAAGCATGTCAGCGCACATGCTCATGGACCTTTTTGAGCCAGGACCCACTCCCACTGGTCTGAAGACAAAGGAAAATCCAAAAAAAAAAAAATATGCTAATTAACAGCTAATCTTGCTCTTCACATCACTGTATCTCTTATGTTAATTAGCTCTTGATTGTTTTTTAAAGTATTTCTCTCCTTATTCTACATGGCCTTATTCAACATCTTACTAACTACTAACACTTTTCCATGAGGGTTAGGCTGAAAGTGCACTAATTGTGGCCATACCATGTGAAAGCCAGATCCCGTTGGGCCTCTGAAGCTAAGCAGGGAAGGGCCTGGTTAGTACTGTGATGGGAGTCCACTGGGAACACCAGGTGCCACAGTGCAGCAGAACAGGGTTGCCTAGAATAGAGGTCTCCAACCTGTAGCTCGGGAGTCACCAGTAGCTCGCCACCCCTTTCCAGGTAGCTCGCCAAAGGATTTTGAAATTAGCAAATGAGATTATATACTTAATATTTCAGATCTTATTATTAATTATTTATTATTTTAAATGCAAACTTTGTGCACTAGTAACAAATATGCAATAACATATAATGTATCCAAAATTATTCACGTCAATTTATCACCTCATTTTTCCCAGGGCCGTCAAAAAGGAGTGGCTCTCTGCCTTTATTGTCCCGGGAAAGTAGCTCTCTGGGTTAAAAAGATTGGAGACACCTGGCCTAGAATGTGTCTGGTGCGGGTGTGAATGGTTGGTGGTAGTGAAGGGGCTGATGGCACATTCTGGTTGCCTCGCTTCTGTCAGTGTGCCCCAGGGCAGCTGTGGTTACAATAGTAATTTAGCACCGCTGTGTATAGAGTGGAAGAATGATGACGTGTGAAGCGGTTTGAGTGTCCAAAAACGTGCTGTATAAAACAGATGCACTGTTAATTATCACCTCATTAGCTGTTAATTAATGAGGTCTAATCTAAGGTGTTGAAGAGATTTTAAATGTAATTACAAATAATGCGGCATGTCATTCTGCATTCTTTAATCGCCGCAGCCAAGTCTCTATTTTCGGATGCGCAGAACGGCATGGCGAGAAGAATTGCAGTGAGGAGATTTTCTATTTTCAGTGCGGGTGACGAAACAAGGCTGACTCTGGCCCTTGGGGAGGCCTTCAAATCAACAGCAGATGAAAATGTGGAACATGCTCCAAAAAGATCGACTGTGCAAAAGCTGCCCTCATGGTGCTCAGTGTAACGTTATATCAAAAGCTGTAATCTTTACCCAAACTTAAACATGTGTTGGACGTTGATGTCACTGGATCAAGTTTAGAAGAATGCTTTAAGGGCTGAGGTTGAAAGGACAAAGGAAAGCTGGGATTTAGAATCAAAAAGGTGGATTTTTTGTAAAACTGTTGTAAAACTATTCAATACAAATTCGCACAATTCAGAAGTCTGTTTTGTCTTCTCTCCCACCACCGGTATTGTGCTTTCAGCAGGGAAAAATGTCAGATGGTGAGATTGTTAAGGCCCAAATTAAAAAAGGCATAAAAACACATGGAAAGTGGCCAAAGCCGGCCTTGCACGCCAATGATATTTCAAAACAACTCACCAGATGAGAACAGCAGGGGAGTGAGAACGTTTTCAGATCGTATCATCACATTCATATGTTGAAAACAAATATTTCTCAAAGGCAGTGTTATCAAAAGGCAATGTCATATTAGGGCAATCAAAATATGATTTTATATGAAATATTTCTTTTTCAGTAAATCCCTACACTCTACTGCACAGCATAAAGAGATAAAAGGTGGTAAATGCTTGAATCAAGTATTTTTTGTCAAGCAAGTTAGCTAGTTAGTTAGTTCAAGTACTGTTTCTTAATTTTGATTGATTGATTGATTTGATTTATTTCAGCTTATAAACAGGAATCAATTATAGAATTCACATCAATTACATATTATACATGATAGAAACATACATACATACTGTAGATTTAAGGGTTTCCTTTTTTCACTCCTCAAAGCTCAAAAGGGAATGGGAAGAAGTAAGTTTTCTCATTCTTTTATTCTTTTTAAAACCAGATCATTTTGCTTGTCCCATTGGCAAATGAAATAAAGTTATATTTTGCCAAATGTGCGCGATTTATGACTTATTTTTCATCACGTCTTTCAGTGTGTGATTACCAATAAAAGAATAATTAAGAAAGAATTAGTGACAAATGTTCAAGCAGTGCCACAACAAAATCACTCAATTTAACCATTTTGCCAGCTGGACTAATCTATGCTCTATAAAAAGTCTGTCATGAGTGTATTATTGGGTGATTCTCGCGAAATCAGACTTACAAGGTGGCATGAAGAATAAGATGAACAAAGTAAATGCAATGGAAATTATAATGATACATTTATAAACATGTCATCACAGGCTATGTTGCACATGATTTAAAGTGAACATTATAAAAATATTTTTATTGTTTTTTCCATATTTAATAGTAAATTTCTCATTACCGCAACGCGTCCATTACTGAATTTGAGAACTTTGAAATACAATTTTTTAAACAAAAAAAAAATGAAATGTATAAATTATCAGTGCATGTTATACTATAAACAGTTACAATAAATAAACATGTGATATTGGGTATTCTTGTATAAAATAAGTTAAAGTTTTAAGGAAAATAACTTTGTCCACAACCATTTTTCTCATCCTCCGCAACAATTTTCAATAATCGTTTAAGTCCACAAGGAACTTACAAAATCAAAGAATTCTGAAGGGAGGAACATCATTTCCAGTGACACTCAAAATAGCTACCAGATAAGCACCTAATTTTATTTCTCTCCAGATAAAAGTTAAAAGTTTGTTCATTACAGCAGCTACACGACTTTTCATTTCTCATTACCGATACGCAAAGTTTTTAACATTGATATTTTTTTTTTATTTAAAAATTCTTGTTTATTATATACTTCATTATGGTCCAAAAATAAACAGCTAGCTAAAGTTTAGCTAAGCCTTGTGGTGCCTTCGCAGACAGCGGAAAATTTCAAGGTCACTCATACTCCGCAACAGCATTATCATACACCGCAACAGTTAAAGGCATGTTACGGTAGAGAGATTCACTGTTTCGGTAATGAGAAATTGATATGTTATACCAGGAATTAACACAGATATTTTTAACACATTTATGAAAAATACTTAAATAACAAAATAATATAGCTTTTAATTATAAAGTATACCTGTAAACCTTCCAGCAGAAGTCATTAGTTTCAGTTGGCTCAGTTGGTAGAGCATTATTAGCCTTTAAGGCTAGAGGTCATGGGTTCAAGCCCACCACAAGACCTACTCCACCAACTCCCACTGATGTCTGCTGTTGTTGTATCCTTGGGCAAGACACTTTATCCCACTTTGCCTGAAGGCCCCTCTGAAAGACTAAGGCTATGCCATAGAGCTGTGCTCTGTGTAATGAGTGGCATCTCTGGCCACCTTCCAACCCAGGAATAGATTAAGGGGAAGAAAATGGATGGATTATTTTACAGAATATTATGCCCCCCTGGACTACCACCTTAACGTGGTAAGGGAGTTTGAGTACTCTGATGATCCTGAGAGCTATGTTGTCTGGGGCTTCATGGTAGGGTCTCCCATGGCAAACAGGTCTCAGCTGATGAGTCCAAAACCCACCATGTATAGCATGTTATTGAGAACCGTGACGTCGCCCGGCATGGCGCAGCCGGGGCCCCACCCTGGAGCCAGGCCTGGGGTTGGGTCTTGTATGCGAGAGTCTGGTGGGCCTTAGCCCACGGGGCCCGGCCGGGCTCAGCCCAAAGGGATGACATGGGCAGGCCCTCCTTTGGACCCACCACCCACAGAGGGATCCGTGGTGGAGAGGTGCTGAGAGGACTGGGCAGCAGTCGAAGGCGGTGACCTCAACGACCCAGTCCACGCACACAGCATATGGCTCTTCAGCCGCACAGACCAGGGCCGAGACAGAGGAGAAGATGGCGCCAGCAGTGTGCACGGCGCAGCATCTCTCTGTTCTGATTTGGTTACTGTTTGCACAGATCGCCAATTTAAGTTATCAAAGTGTTTCAGCACTGCTTGTTTATGATCGCCAGTCGTTATTTTCTATCCGTGACCAACACGAGTTGTTTCTAAAGCAAAATTATGGAAACCGATCCTCGGGTGGCCTTCCCCCCCCCTCTCTCCTTGGCTCTGCCCCCGTACCTGCACCGCTCCTGTGCTCTCCCGAGGAAGCGCCACAGGAAACGGGGAAAGAGAGGTGGCACTGCCGTAAGAGTAAGAGCCTACCTTCGCTCCCAGCGCGGGCGTGCTCCTCCAGTACAGTTCGGCGATGTCCACCAGGATGTCTGCCCTTTCCCGGACCGTTTGTGGCGGTGGATTCTCCCGGTTCATCCCGACAATACCGTGGATGGATTCGTAACAGAGGAGTACTATATCCACCGGCTTCCCAGACCCACAGAGCGCCGCGCTGTCCCAGCTAACCTGCGCTCGTTAGCTCGGGCCCAGCCTTGTGAGGATAATCCAACTCTTCAGCTGGCCCTGTTCAATGTTAGATCCCTGGCGAACAAGACTTTTGTATTGAATGACTTCTTCACAAACCGGGATTTGGACTGTATGCTTCTGACTGA